AGGCAGATTGAAAATTAATAATTATAAAATATTCCTAACTTGTAATTTCCGTATATGCATATATTGAAATTATACTAAAGTGTATTAGTTTTCAATCAAATCATTGATGTAACTTGAATTTTTTTCAGATGCACTCCTCGTTTTCATTTTCTTATTCAGTTTTCAAACTTTTCTCTTCAATTTCAATAGTAATTAATTTTAAGGATTTTTCGAATTAAATTCTTAGGTTGGGGCCTAAGAGTGGGGCTCATTAAAAAACGTTTTCGGTGTTATCATTTTCTTTGGTTTCAATTTAATTCGGATGTGGACATCTTCAGGATGCACATTCCTCGTGGGTCTTCAGAAGCGGTTACCTCCTCGTGGTTAGACCCGGGCAATGGATATTACTTTCCGTGTAATGTTTATCATATTTTGATATGCTATACATTACATTACAAGTAAAATCTAGCCAAAGACCGCTTACCATAAACATTATAATTGTAATTAGTTTCTTTTAACTTCCTAATTAATACCATATTCTTTTACCCCTTTCCTTGGTTCCTTCTATCCATTTCATCCATAGAAACTAATTACTTTATAATGTTTTTTAATAACTTTTATATTTTTATAGGTACCACATGAAACAATCTCAGAAATGATTTAAATTTATTTTCATTTTAATTTTTGTTTTAGAATAGAATTAACTTAATAATGGATGTGTACAAGGAATGGTTTTAAGATGACTTTTATATATTTACTTGTAAATATTTAATATAATTATCATCTTTTCAATATAATTATGTTCGTATTTTTTGATTGGATAATTTTATTTAATTATATTTGATTATTTTTCAATTATATTCTTGTACGTGCAGCATACTGTAAGAAGTTTTATATATTTATAATTCGATTTCTAGAAATATTGCAATTTTATTATAATTATCCATTGATACGAACTTTTCGAGGCAATCCGATATTATTATTATTATTATTATAATTAATACTATATTGTTTCATTAATATTTTTTACAAGTAAAGACATCGTCATAAATAATCGTAACTTTTTGTTCAGTTTCGCAGTAATCATGTCACGTTATAATAACGCATAATACATTTTATTTCCATTTTCATTCGATCGAATAAATAAAATTGTACAATTTATTTTTTAACGAATACTTGATAGTGTATTTTTCAAATGCAAGACAATGATGCAAGATTCTTCTCTAGGAAAGTGGATTTTCTTCTTATTTTCTTGTTCTTTTTCATTAGATGTAATTATTATTGCAAGACTTGGTGGTTATCATTCTTCGTGGTTGTCACATTTAAATTCCATTACGCCTGTACATAGTGCACTCACCAATTTATAGGCTATTAGCACTGAAAATTGAAAATAATTTTGGAGTAATTTTTGGTTCTTTTTCAGTAGAATATTTAAGCTTACGCAATAAGTTGGTAGTTGTACGTACCAGTGTGGTAGTTCATCAGGATCGAGGCAACTCAAACTCACAGAGTCAAATAATTTTCCATCGCCGCAAGTCAAAAGACGTGGATGACCTTCGACGCAAGTTATCAATCTGCCGCAGTCACCGGGTACTGGGAATCTACCATGAAATTTTATACGTAAAAAGAAAGTGAATGGACGTGACGAAATAATACGCATAACGTTTTTACGATAGTTGCGTAAGAAGCCTTTTAATTTAAGAATCGAAAGTTTGAATTTTCAATTCCTAAAAAATAAGATTGAAAATAAAAAAGTAGTATAAAAAACGTGATTCTGTTCATATGAGTCCTATATGAGATTATTACAAACTTCGACAAAATGATGAAATTATTAAGAAATAATAAAATAAGTGAATATAGAGATAGTACCTTGGAAATGGCCAAAATTTAGCTGCCGCACTACGTGCTGGTACTTTGTGGGGACACTTGAAACCAACAATAGCTTCCGGATTGCAATAAGGTAAAAGTTGATCGGGCCAGACACATGTGTGCGTTTTCGGGTCGAATGCTAATCCAGCATCACAATGTTCTTCAAGGGGTTGTCCATGTACGCATTTAATATAAGAAGTGCTACAGGTGTCGCTATCTGGGTAGAGTCCGAATTGATATTCGCAACCGGGTGAACTCAGAGGTGTCACTGCAATTAAAGGATTATTTGTGATTATTTTTTCATATTAATGCGATTATTATTGGGTTGGACAATAATTAATGTCACAATTGTTAATATAAAAAATACTCTTTGTAATTTATTTGATTAATATATTAATTCTCATTTATACTTACGATCATGTTTGCGGTGTCCACAATTAACAGCCCAATAATAATTGCAGTGATTATATACAGATCCATGTCCGTCAAAAAGGAGACCATTTTCACAATGTTCCAGCGTTAACGTGCCATTGGTACACAAAAAGAAACTGTTGCAATCCTCCGGATGAGCATACGCGTGAACACCATAAGGATCAGGACATGGTGGAGCACCGAAAAGCGCTGTAGCTTTAACTACAAAATTTTAACGAGTTAATGTCATTTTATAGTTGCAATGAAAAATAGAATATATCAAATAAATTTATTCATAGCTTCTATAAATATCACCTAGGTAAATCATTTTAGTTTTATTGCATGTGTAACATATGTATCTCAAGGATAAAATAGATTGTAATATGTATACTTTCTCATCTTACGATCGAATGTTCTCGTAGATTAAATATACGAATATTATTATTACTATTATTAATATAGGAACTTGGAAAAATGATTAACACAAATTGTTACAAAATTATTGAATAATTGAATTATTTTAATTAGAGAAATAATTGATCAATATATAAAGAGAATCGGTGTTTTTGATAGTTAAGTAACACTAGTACTTTTTATTGAAAAATTTAAGGTATTTTTGATAGCTAAAAGCAAATCATTATGTTTTTATTAAAAATTTATCCAAATGAATAAAAAAATTAAAAAATTTGTAAATAACATGATTTAATATATTAACATTGCGCAAATTTCAACGACAAAATGTATCCGATTAAAAATGATAATGATAGAAAAAAAAAAAAGAAACTATATCAAAGCACAAGATTGCTATTATGTCATAGTATATGCATCGAGAAGTAGCGCGCCATATGGTAAGAAGAAAAAAGAAATAAGGAAACGACCGATCGAGGACGATTCATCGAGGATTCGAAAAGGAAAGATTATTTTAGCCCGAAGCGTCTAGATGCGCGTGTGCATCATTGATGCGTCAATGCACTCCCGTTTCTTCTTTGATGATATCAACAATCTCGAATTCAAACTTTCTTCAATGCAAAACAGTGTTGAAACGAGTATATATAACCAACAAGAAAAATAAGAAATAAATTCTTTTTTAAGAGGAAAAAACTCACCGGATAATGATAATGATGACGATGATAATATAGCCAAGAAGGCCAATAGGATGAAACTTTTGAAACGACTCATACTCCGAATCTTGTACGATTTAGGTATGATCCAGTTGTACTATGACTATCAAAGCTTGCTCGACGATTGGCGCTCACTTATTGGCCTCGACAGCTTCTCCCTTCACTTGAATCGTGAAAACCATGTTTCACGACCCCACCTTTACTTTACTACCTGTCTTTTACCGATTTCTTAAGCGTTCGTTCGTACGCTTTCGGCGTTCTACCGAACGGTGCCGAAGAAAGGATCAAGCGTTGACGGCAAAGTAAAGTAAGCTATGTGAACACTCTACGAATACGGAATGGGTTCGTACAGAGTTAGTTGCTCTTGCTCTTGTGTATGCAACATTCATATTCAAGATTTATAGAGTAGCTTTTGGTTAAGTTAGGGAACAGAAGGAATGCTGTGTTGTTACTTTTACAATATGGTTGTGATCGGTATTACAAAATATTCAAATAATATTCTAAATAATAATATCCTATTCAATGAATAATTATAAATCGTCAAAGAATTATTCGTTTTATTTGAATATTCGAAAGACCCGTTATAATTATTCATCGACTTGGTAAACATTCTGAACGTCGAAGTATGACTCATTGCCATTTTTGGTATCGTCGATGCATCGAAAATCGTAAATTTTTTTAGTATTATTATTATTATTATCTGTCTACCGATTCTGCATACGAATGATGAAGATACGTTAGCATAATCCCCGCAATACTCGTATAACGTAACTAACGACTTGGTGGTAATCACGCATGCGGACCCGGTATATCCGCGTACATGCTGTCTTGTACCACGTTCATAGGTTCTGTCTTTTTCTCTTCTCCCCCAGACCTTTAACGGTCTTACATAAGACTCCATGGTGGTTCGAAGACCGCCGAGCGAAATCTCGTCGATGTGAATGGTGAAAGCCAAAGACAACTTGCTCGATTTCGTTGGGTTACATTGTTCTTGCTCTGTTGCAATTCGAAGATTTTTCTTCAAACTTGTCATATTTTTACGATCTAATCCTTATATCCAATTGATCAATGGTTCATTGAAATTATTATTACTTATCAATTAAAATATCATTTGCTTTTAATATTTATTTCAAATAATATGAAAAATGTGTTCATTAATAAATAAATCAATCAAATAATCATTTATAACCATTCTCATTAAATATATAAAAATGTTTACTTGAAATAAATAAAAAGACAAGTAATAATATCATCAACTCGTTAAAAATGAATCATTTGAAAATAAGCAGACATCGAACTAAAAGAGCAATCATACTTTCACTCTTTTTCTAACCGCTTGAATGTCTAAAGAAATGTTAATAATTTGCCGGTAAAATATCGAAGGTGGTGTGCGCATCGCTTATTATTACGTAAAGAGAAAGGTTGCAATTCTATGGAATGAAAGAGAAGAGAAGAGAAGAGAAAAGAAAAGAAGAGAAGAAAAGAGATGAGAAATTAGCCAAGCGCATGGAACATTTTTCTATCGTTGATCTATGTAATTTTCTAAAAGACGTTCATTACCTATGTGCATCCTAGACGAGTCATTTGTTTGCTATTCCATTTGACATTCGGCAAGAGTTAATCTCCATGATGATTGAAGATACGTAATGTTTCTATCGAACGAGATACGCATATTAAATAATAAAAAGTATAATGATTTATACTAGATATGAAAGATCTAATCAAATGAGAAAGGTCAACGTTTATTTTTTGTCTTTCCTTTCAAGGTAAATGAAAATCATCTAATGTAAGATATCACAGAGAGCCCCATTCATATTACACATTAAAGTATTTATTATAATTATTATTTAATATTATAATCTACACACAAGTAAAAAGTTAAGTGCTATACACGTGGTATCGTGATTAATAAATTGGCACCTTTACTTCTGCTGCCTGACTTAGTTTTTGCGCTTGAAATAATCCTCGCTGTAAAAAAAAAAAAACAAGAACATTATCGTGTGAATTCTTTTTTTATTTTACTATTATATGTGTTATCTATATAAAAATGAATATAAAAATTGTAATTACCATCCAGGGACGTTTTCAGGGTCAGTACACCTAAAAGTTTCCTCGTTGTAAACGGTGCCACTGTCGCATTGTCCTTTTTGTGGTACAACCCCATTTTTACATATATAAAATTTGGCACAGTCTTCTGGATGAGGATAAGTTGGATGTGGTAAAACCCGGCCTGAAGGACCAGCCACGTCACCATCAGGACAAACAAATCCGTCGTCAAGGACATCACGTTTAACATTCTCGCATAATCTACTTGCATCCGCCGGCCAAACGCAACTCGACATTTTCGCTTCGTAAATTAGACCAGGTGGACATGGCATTGTTTGTGGTATACCATCGATGCAATTAACGAACCTGTCGCACGCTGTTGGATCCTCGTGTTTGAAATATCCGTTTGCTCTTGGACATCCTTTACTTGGTTGCGGTTCCTCTGTTCGAATGTACACGTGTACAGATAAACATATATATATGTTTCAATATTTGTTAATTTGTAAAATACTTGTAATCATTTATTTTCATTGCAATTGACTTTTATTTCAGATTTAGTATCCTATATATTTTTGTGGATTTTATTATTAATATTATTATTTAATAAATCAACTAATTATTATATAATTATTATATTTTATACTAATTTTATATACTAAAATTATTATATAATTATTATATAATTAGTCGATAATAATTATTTTTGATAATGTAAGTAATTGCGATATGAATTGTTTTAATTTTATTTGATTTTTGTTTAAGTCAAAAGTGAATATGTTAATAAAGCATCATTTTATATTTGTAGTATTTCAAAGTATCATTTTTATTTTAGTAGTCTATATTTTTGGATCTGGACAACTGCTCCAGTGGCGCAATTGGTTAGCGCACGGTACTTATAAGACAGTGTTTGTGAGCAATGCCGGGGTTGTGAGTTCGAGCCTCACCTGGAGCAAAATATGTTTATTGACAACCGCTTTGGTTGTATTTTTTTTTTTTTTTTGTTAATTCTCATTTTACTCTAATACATAATCGTGTGTTTGCTAAAAAATAATTTAACTTATTTTTTAAGTAATAACATTTAATAAAATGTATCTATTACTTTTTTATTTGCTTTTCATATATTTTCTATATTTTATTTCTCGTTAATTGAATTCAACTTCAATATGGGTATTGAAGCATAATTTAATATTTAATTTTCATTATATAAACTATTCAAAGATATAAATTATCCGAATGAACTTTGAATAAAAAGAAGAAGAAGATAGAAAAGAAATAAAAAAAAGGGTGAATAAACTTACGCAAAAGAGTTCTGTCGCCGCAAGGAACGTTAGCCGGTATGTCGCAAAGTTCCTTTTTTGGATTATCGTCCCTGAATACAAGGCCATCTTTGCAAAGCTTTTCCTCCGGTTTCCCATCTACGCAAGCATAATAAAGATCGCACTGTTCCAAATCAGGAAAGAAACCCTTTGGTTCGGGACAACGGAATTGTGCATCAATCGTGGCCAATGTTAATAAAAAAACTATTAAAACAAATGACGAGCGATTAAGGATTAGTTTATACGACATGATCATCCTCACTCAATTTGATCTCGCGTTCACTCTCTTCCTCTTAATCGTATAAAACACTAAAGTTTTCACTGCAAATTACGGAGCAACGTGTGGATCTAGTCTGACTGCAGATCGAAAACAACTGATCCTGATTGGCACGGGCCACCATTCTCCACCATTGCTTTCTTACCTTGCATTTCACGATCCTCCCCACCCTCTTTCGCCGAAACTTTTCTGTCTCTCTTTCTTTCTTTCTTCCTTCATCTTATTCGCATAGTTCCCTTTCGCATATACACGCACGTGCACATACTACCCTTTCTCCCTGCTAACAAGAATTACTAATACAACATATTACTGATCGAACCGTTAAACGTTATGATATCTCTACCATTTTCTTTTCCTCATCATATTTTTTTTTTATTATTTCTCTAACTTTTTTCAAATCATTTTTCTATCTATATTCTTTTTTGCAGTCCTCTTTTCTTCCGGGTTGTTGTTAATACGCGTGATTACTCGCTCGGTGTCTAGGATTTTCTGACATTTTCTATCTATCGTATTTTTGTTTTCTTTAAACTGTTTAACATTCTTCTTATATCGTCTTTACACAATCTCTTTGACATTTCTTAAAGGTTTTTTTTAAATTGTTTTACACTTAAGAATTCGCATTCTTGAGGATCTTTCAACCGTAAACCGGTCGGATAAATCTAGTCGTTTGAATTAGATGGTGGGATTCACTTTTAACTGCAGAACAGATGCGATCTCTCAGGTATAAAACCGCAAACACTTTTAGGAGGAATGAAATATTTTACACGAGTTTGTCCCATCGAACTTTATAATAGGGGAAAAACATAACGTCTGGCTCTGATCGAGAGAAAGTGCACCAATGTATCCATATGGTATGGACATATGTGCGTTTGCATAAGAGAAATCGTTAATTCCAAAAATTCTTACTATCCTATTGTTGTCGACTAAGTCATGGAAATTTATATTCCTTTTTATATTGTTCATTTGTATCAAAATTGAGTGACAATAATTGATATGTATAATAAATCATTCATGAGAAATGATACGTTTGCATAAATTTAATCAGCATAAGAGAAAGATTTGTTATTTTAATCTGAATATTATTGTCAAAATCTACAAATTGAAGCGAATTTTTTGTACAGATTTGACATTAATGATCAGCTACATTTGCATTTTTATCAGCGAAATCGTTATCGAAGAGAACTAATTAAAACAGTTTGTAGTTCGTTTGATTGACTACAAAAAGTGTGATAAAAAGAAATGAATGGTAATCATCTATAGATTTAAGATGGAAATATCTGATACGACGAAAGAAGAAGAAAGCGTCGAACTCGGTGGGCCGAGTTATGGAAAAATAGAAAATAACCAAAGAAGAGAAAGTTTTCGACGTCGAGTTGACTGACTGCATCGTAGAAAACGAGTATTCAAGGCCTTTCGAATTCGTTCGAAATCGAGATTTCAATAGCGAGTTAACTGTCGCGAATCACGTACTTACATATACTTATCTAGACAAAGTTGTAGCTAATCAGGTATCTAACTTTCTAAAGATTACACGAGATAATGTATGTTAATAGATGAAGAATGTAGGAACAGCATTTATTAAAACGTTGAAAAGTCATCGGGTCATGTAATCTGAGATTACGAAAGTCATATTAAGTAAGAAAGAAAATTCAATAAACATTTTTCTTCCTTTTTTTTTCTCTTTCTATGGTAAAAATTAATATTTATTTGGAAACAAATAAAACGCTTAGATTATCTCACGTGTTATAATTATTATTACAAACTAATTCGCAATTAAAAATTAAAAAGACAGTACGGGCGTCCCGATGCGGGACATACGAATTTCAAATAATCCCTCATGGCTTTTTGTCGTCATCCTTGTACCAGTCCTCACTGTAAAATCAAGATTAAATCCAATCAAAATCAAATGAAAATAGAACAAATACAAACGTAGAAGATAATTCAAAAATGATGCTTTGAACGTACCATCCAGGAACGTTTTCAGGTGCATCACACCTTTGCTGTTCTTCGTTATAAACAGTTCCATCGCTGCAACCTTGTTCACGCGGTGTTACACCATTCAGGCATACGTAAAACTTTTGACAATCGTCAGGGTGTGCAAATTTCGGATGATCGATTGCCATACCTCTGCTGTCCAACTGATTCTCTTTCGGACACTCGAAACCGTCTTTCAATTTTTTATCCACAACTCCGCATCCCTAGGAAAAAAAAAAACAACACCAAATTAACGACGCGAGTTTATATGGATATTTTTTCCCTATAATCATGAATATATATATTTTCTACACAAAAATCGATCCCCATCTGAATTATTACTTTATTAGAAAAATATAGACAAGTTTGTCTTACCTCACGGCCAGCACTGTCAGGCCAAACACAGGTTCCACTGTACTCGTCGAAATGTAAACCAGTTGTGCAAGTGATCTCAATGGCTTCCCCATCGATGCAATTGAAAAATACATTGCATACTGAAGAATCTGGATGCGCGAAGAAACCATTTCTTCTGGGACATTTTTTAGTTGGCTGTGGTGGTTCTGTCGACAAATATTTCATCAAAAAATGATCTAACGTAAGAATTCATTGCTTAGCTTATTAGCAGCTGACACTGTATCCTGTATGTCAAGGACATTGTGCCACGGAAGCCAAAGACACGTTTAACTCCTTTCCACTAGCGAAAGTTCGAGTTTCGTGCGGCTTTGCATAAGATTTCTCAATGTCGGTTTAGTGAAGTGAAATTCCTTTTCATTATATTTTTTTCAATCGTTTTTATATTTTCTTTTTTTCTTATTTTTATTGCGCGAAGGCTATTGGATTTTGGTGGACACTTTTTATAAAAATGTACTTTTTAGTTGTTATAATTATTATTATTATTTTGTAATTAGTGCAATAAAGTAAAGTAGAACTTACGCAACTCAAGACGATCACCGCAATCTACGTTGAAAACATGATCGCACTTGTTGACTTTGCGGTTTAAGGGATCGAAAACGAGCCCATCGGGACATAATTTTTCTGTTGCAATCCCATCGACGCAGTCGTAGTATTTGTCACATTGCTTCAAGTCCTCGTATTGGCCATCTTTGTTTGGACAATTGTACGCACCATCTGGAAATTGATTAAATCATTTTTAGAATACTTGATACAATATTTAACATTAAAATATGTAGATGAGATCAATTTACTATTACTTAAATAGTAATACTACTGTGGTAATCGAATATAAAATGTCCAATTTCATGAAATTCATTTTTCTCGGGAAAAAGGTAAATGAATTTGAAACGTGTAACATTAAGGATTATTCTCGAAGAGTGTTTGCGAAAGCGAGAGTAAGTTTCGTTGAGACTGGTATCAAAAGTGGTTTGGTGAACAGTTACATTCAATCTCGACGAGGTTGACGAACCCGTTCGTTCCTATCTCCTTGGCAATACGCATTCTCCCGGTAGGGATACCGATAATATTTATTATATTTTTGTTTTATTATGTAATTATAAGGTGTACTCTCGCTTATAAGGACGATAACCATGGCATATACTTATGCAATCTTTGAACCGAGAAATATCTGACATTTACACTTTAGAAAGTTTAGTTTAGACTGTCTCCAGTACTTCCACGCATTAAACTATACGCCTTTTCCCGATACGCCTCTATATTCCATATCAATTTCTCATTTTTTTTCCTTTTTCTAAATCCTAATAATAGCGGTACAGAGAAACAATACACGCTCATGTTGCATTAGATTAATTCAACATTTCAGTAATCTAGTAACATGTTTTTGAATTTGAACATTTGACAATGAAATGTTCACACTTTGTCACTGCCAAGTGAAATTCTATCTAGCAATGAAATAAATGTAGATAAAAAGATCAATGATAGGAACTATTGAATAAAAGTATAAGTTGTTAATATAATTCTATAGTTGATTTATTGTTGAATAATCAAATGCAAGTTAGCCATATGTTTAATTTGATTAAATCGTGCTAATATTGAAAAAAGGTGAAATTTAGTATAAATGATGGAAATACTTACGAGTAACAGCAACAACAGCCAGGATCGTCACAAGAAATTCTCGAATCATATTTTCTTGTTCGTTATTTTTGTAAGATTCGTGTGTGCGAACAAAAATGTGCTTTTAAATAAGAATGAAATATAATTGTTGAAAGAAAAATTGATCAGCGAGAAGTATTTTGATACGGTCTTTAGAATGGCGTCTCTCTTTCGCGATGTACTGCAGCTCTTCGGTTACACGACGAGGGGGTATACCCTGTCAATCCCCACTATCAACACCTTCGTTTCTTCCCCACTTTCGTTTCATTTTCTTTCGCTGGATAACCGTCGAGAATTAAGATTAATCGGATATCGCATGCTTTTACCATTCCCTTCCCTTTTCTTCTTCTTTCCACGCACGCGCGACTTTACTCTCACTTGGTCGTTTCCTTACAGTCGAAACCCTCTCCCAAAATCATCAATTCTCTAGTACCGAAATCAAATAGAATATAATATTTTTTGGAAATAAATTATACGACAAATTATACGCTGGCTTGAACAATTATTAACACATATTAAAAATCGATCATTGAATTTGTTAAATAATACCCTTTTATATAAGTTGAAACGATACGTTATCATATCCGTGTCATTTGATTTTGCAAATTTTTATCCGAGAAAACGTAAAGAACGTTTCTTTTGCTCTGATATTTAAGTAACTTTCACTGCTTATTGGAATTTTTACACGCGACCGCAATTAGTTATCTACGGAAGTCCAAAATTGTTTTTTTTCTATTCGATAGTACGTTTCATCGTAAAACATATAATAAGATAAAAATCGCGTAAACGAGTTTACATTTACTTATTATAACAAATAATACAAAATAATTGTATCGATAAAATTCATGTTGGTTTATTTTTTTATTCATGGAAATGACGATTTGAAGAATTTCTAATCTCTCGGATCTGTCATAACGCGAAGGTTTGTGCTTTTACTACGTTGTTCTACCCGATAATTTCGACATAGTCGGATAGATGTAAGTACTTTCACCGGAGTTCATTCCCACTACCTAATTATTTACCTTTGCTCGAGTAGAATTCTTCAAACGTAACATTGTTCCCCTTTATACACTTTTAACGTCTTCTACAACATTTATTATTTCTACGTAAATGTATTTAATTGAAGTATCAGATAAAAAGATAGTTGCGAAAATCATTTGCATAGTTTATTGCTTTATAATTATAATATTCAACTATTTATATCCATTATATTATCCATAGATTTCCTTGAACGATTGCTATGATTCCTCTTGTATCGTTTATCAAGATTAATTAGACTAGATTAATGTAATATTATGTAAATTGATCTACATAATTCGCACATCGTTATGAAAGTGTGTGTTCCGTTTAGTTATCGCGTTTTATTTTATTCTAAATTATATTTTTTATCGTGACTTTAATTGTTATTGGAAATAAAAAATAAATGATGATAATTTAGTATAAAAGTGTATATCACAATAAATTACTAGGAAAAAAGTATTTGATTTATTGTAGATGACAATTTTCAATTTGTAAAAGATCTTAAGAATCTATAAAAGCTTTTTCTTTTTTCTTTTAAGCTGGTCGAGCTCCTTTTCTTCTACTTGGTCCACCAGTTGCTTTTGGTTTTGGTGGCGGATTTTCTAATGCATCTAATTGTTCATCGGTTAATTGATCCTTGTACCAGTCCTTACTGAAATTCCAACAAAATATTATTCATATCATATATAACATTTGTAGATAATAATTGGTCAACGATATTTTAACAATAAAATTCATTTAAAATTGATATAAATTCATTACCATTCGGGAATTTTTCTAGCCCAATCGCATTTTCCAGTTCGTTCGTCAAATGCTTGACCAAGTTTACATCCGCTTCTCCTTGGTATTTCACCATTAACGCATACATAAAAATATTGACAATCTTCGGTGTCAGGGTATCTCGGATGAGTTGCTGCAACCGAATCGTCAACTTTCGGACATGTGAAATTAAATAATTCCCTAGATCCGCAGCCCTTCTTTTGTGCTTCGTCAGGCCAATTACATATTCCAGTTTTCTCGGAAAATACTAATCCGTCGGGACACGTAATCATGTTGAATTTCCCTTCGACGCAGTAATAGAAAGTGTCGCAGATTCTCGAATCCTCGTGTGCGAAATATCCGTGCATGCGTGGACAGTGCGGCGATGCTTGAGGTTTTTCTATAATGCAATCAAAAAAATACGATCGTTAAAAATGAACGTTCATTTCAAATTCGTGCTTTTCGTTGCAAGTTGACAATTTTTCTTTTCTTTTATTTTATTTTTTGTGCAAAATTATCTAAAACGATAATTTGATACGAGACGCGTTCAAATATTTTACATTGAAACATTCGGTCGAGCGTTAAGAATTTACTTCGACTCTTTCTCTTTTTTTATTTTCCTTTTTTATTCGTACAGTCTTTGGAAACGAGTTTGGTGTCGACCTTTCTCCGTGTCGTTTGATTCCCTTGTCACGTTCTTCGAACTTAACCTTGAGTATAAGAAAAGAGAAAATAGAATCATCGTCGTTGCCGTTGAGTGCCATTGCATCCCCTTACATTTCTTCTTGTCAACGATTACAATCAATCCCAACTAACTGAATTGCACGTATTCCAACAAATAATCCCGAAGTAACAATAAATCAAATCCTTTTTACAAGAATATAATTCGATGAAAATAATTATACGTACGTAATGCTGGTCTCTTGGAACAATCAATTCCAAAAGGTAAATCACATTTTTCGTGTAGCGGACTAAAGTCGTTGAATACGAGACCATCGGGACAAAGTTTCTCCGTAAATTTGCCATCTCTGCAATCATAGTACTTGTCGCATTGTTCAGCGTCGGAAAAGAAACCGTTTGGCTCAGGACATTGATCCGAAACTTCGTCCTCGTCCTCGTCCTCGTATTTTTCTTGCTCCTCCTTACCAAGTTGTTCCTTTCTTTGAGTTGGCAACGATGCTTTACGACGACTTTGCTCGGCAGCCTCCTGTTTTCTTGTTAAGGCATTTACAGTGCCTGTAAAGAAAGATTATCATTCAACTTGGAGAGAGTTTAAGAGTTTACATTATCCATAATTAGATGTCAAATTATTATAGTGTTTTAATCGTCGTCGTCGTCGTCTATAGACAGAGATAGATAATTATGTTTATCGACAAGCCTATTATACGATCTCACGAAGCTGCTGTTTAATTTATGTAAATTAATGCCGAAGAATTCTTGTACTTTTATCCAAGAGAAAGTATCGATCATTGTTAAAACACCAAGGACGATTACACTGGAAATAATAAATGCAATTATACGCGGATATAAGAATGAGTAAATGAGAAGAAAAATCAGTTTGAGTGGCAGGAGGGTCAACTGGTTCAACCATTTTCAAGGTGATACAACGTCTGCGTCCCTGAAACCAATGCCGCTCGACCTCGCCAGTATGGATGGAAGAAAGTGAGAAAGTTATCTACTTTCCTAAATATGTCATATTTTAATGTCAATGATCTTTTAATCAATTCTACGATGCATCTGTTTTTTTATTTGTCGTTAATTAATTAGATTCCCAAGTGATAATATAAAACATTTGATTGTTGTTCGACAGGACAACTAGATTAGTATCGCTACTTCGAAATCTATTTCTATTCAATCAGATCGTTCGTGCATGCACATATCACGGGGCTAAGGGAAAGCACACTTTCTATCGGATCGAAACAAAAGGTTCCTTGATTAGAACGCCTAACGTCTAGTAGAATGAATTAGAATGTAAAAGGAGATAACGTGAACCATTTAGATGCTAAGGATGGAATAGAAACGCATATGGCACATTACGGTCATTTACAATAGGGTTTCTCAATCTTCGATTCGTACGCTGATTATTTAGCTATATGTTCATGTTTAAATTAAGATTCTTTTCAAATAATTTAATGTGACTCGAGTCTCAACAAGTTTTCTAAAATTATATTTTATATGTTGTACAATTACTGCATAATAATAAAGTTGGGAGCATCTGATTTATAAAGAAATCTTGTTAAAAGACTGTACTTGGAAAGAATCAGAAAATCAAACTACGAAAATCGTGAACACGAAATTGTGAAATTCCCAGAACTTACTTAAGCAAACGAGTAGGCACAGCAAGCACGCCTTCTTCATCTTACTGGAAGGAATGGCGTCAAATGTTTGATTATATTGGACCGTTTTGTCGATTCGCGAATTCAGTTACGGTCCTTTAAACGCGGTGAAATTGATGACTAGAGACTACTGGGCCGGATCGAAGCGAAACAGGGTCTTTATATGTATCCCCCACTTTGCCGGACTATGTGAGGTTACAACACTGCAGGATCGCGTACACGGTCTAAGGAGAACCGTTACTCTTCTGCATGCTACCATCTCGCTCGTTTGATTTATTTATAAAAGGTGCATGCATCTTTTGAGTCATTACGAGAATAAAACCAATTAGTTTCCTTTTTACTTTTTTCCTAAGAGAAGCTTCTATCAAGATTGTGCTAATTTGACAAAAATTCCTAGAGGATTATTGCTTTAAACGTGTCCATGTTTTTGTAGAAAGGATTACATTGTCCTGGTAAATGTAATATCAGTGAATGTTTCGAATTCATGCTAATCCGCGAAGAAAATCAATTGGCTTTCATGGATTCATTATTATAATTATTCGTTTTATTATTAAGAAAAGTATTTAAGATTTTGCACAAATTCCATGTTGTAAAATATTTGTTGACCGGTTCGAAATAAAAATAAAGAAATGACGATAGCACGTTAGGGAACGTTAAGAATCCACCTTGAAATTCCAATATCCGAAAATGTCAGAAGGTTCACCAGTTGTCCTGAAAGGACGACGTCCCGGACACGATTCCGCGATCTTTTACAATTTTCTTCATTCGTATTCTATAGAATTGTTTGATTATAAATTTCCTAATTTGTAAAAAATTCACATAAATATGAAATTCCAATATTAAAAATAAAACAATATTTGTTTCGATTAAATATAGTTCTAATAATATCCTGTAGCAGTGTTCGCCAACTCACGAGAGCCATTAAATTTTTAATATTGCGTGTGAATTAAACAATCAATCAACAAATCAAGAGAATACATTGAAAAATTCGCGGTATAAGAGCCATTTATCTAAACAAATAAATAATAATTATACTGTGTCAGATTCTTAAAAATTGTATGTAAGAATAACAATAATTAGGTCATTGTACTCATTGCAAAGAAAGGTATTGATTCTTACAAGGAAAGTTGAGAAAAAATGCATCTCTACGATGATTAAAAATATATATTAATGTTATCAATCAAGATAAATATCAACGTTATATACTCCATTCATCGTAGATGAAAATTCAGATATCATTTACATATTATATACCTACAAATGGAATTGCATTGCGTATGTACAAATGTAGATGGTATTCGTAGAAAGAGGGCGACACGTTGGATGACATTACTGCCACGGTGGCAGATCATCAAAGCTTGACCGAATAAAAAATTAAATCCTAAGTTGGACTAAAAAAAATTCACGCAATAACTTTGTTTATTTAAATTTGATTGGTAATAAAAGTAGCGAAATAATACAAGAAAAGAAAAACATGATTTCTGATCAAATGAAAATGAGAAATACGTATTTCTATAATAAAAAATTAGATGGCGGGACGAGCTATAGTTAGAAACTTATCATAGGAGCAAGCAAAGAAATAGGAAAAAGAGGCCGCTGTCATGAAAAGACTAGAAGAAGCTTAGCGGGTGACGCCAGTCAGTTAGACGAAATGGAGAGTTCTGGTAGCGCCATTACAGCAGTGTTGTACAATTAATTCGTGCTAAAAGCGATAGACGCGACGCTTTTTCCCGCTTCTTACCGACGCTCGGCGTCATTTCATCGGTTCGTGGCTAGAACCGAGAAAGATAATTCGAGTTTAATATTGAACTATTATTCAAGAATACGTGGACGTAATAAAAAGGTGGAACGGAAGAGGAAGAAGAAGAAGAAGAGAAGGTGGAGGAGGAGGAGAAGAAGAAAAAAAGAAAGAAGGAGTAAAAAAGAAGAAAAATTAAAAGAGGGAGAATAAGGATTACATTGAAAGGTGGGATATCGGTGTATCTCGGTTACGTAGTGTATGTGTGTGCGTGTGTGTGATTAGTATTGTAGTAGTGTGGAAGGTGGCGGTGACCGGTGACGAACTATCACCGAGGGCACGTTTTACAAGCTTTTCGCTGATATAACTCGGCAACGTTGGATATATTGTGTAAGTAATTTACTATATTTTCTAAAATCGAACTATAAGAGTATACGCAAAGTAACTAGCAATCGACGAATATACATAGACAGCAGCAGCAGCAACAGCAACGTGCGAGGGAGGACGCGCCACGAAGCGCCAATAACTGAACTAGGCTACAACACACCTACCGAGACTTTGAACGAAAAAGATCAAAACAAAATATAATTAAATATCAAAGGATAATATAATAATGGAGAATAGACCAACGCCGTTACGTTCGAGACGGGTATGCAGATTCTGCCTAACCGAGACCGAACCTTTAAGCTTCATTTTCGACAGGGATCACAAAAAACCTTTCCATGTACCGCTCACCTTGCAGATCATGTCCTGCGTTGCCATCGAGGTAATTATTTTATTTTTACATATGATAAGTCGTCTTTTTTTTAAATATTATTATACTCTTCATTTGCGATACATGCTCTTTTACTTTCTACTTTTTCCCCACCATCTCTTTTTTTTATTTTTTTGTTTTACTCTACATGCATCATTTGATTGTTTTTTCTCCCCGCAATTGTTTTTTTTTTTTCTTTTAATTGTTTCCACCTAATTTTGTTTCTTTTCAAATTTTTTTTATCGCATATTTCTTTTTTACGAGAATCTCTTAGCATATAAATTTCCGTCTTCCGTTACTGAGAAGTGAATTTTATTCATGAGTGGCGTACCATCGCGAGTAATGACGGAGTAAACATGATTACCGATAGAGTTATCGTAGATGGCATGCTTATTGCTTATGATAATGCAGTGTTTCTTTTATTAGTTTTCGTGGTGGTAACTAGATGCCATTAAACGTCACGCAATTGAAATTTCGTTCGATATGTATGTGGCGGGTAATCATGACTGTGTTCAAAATACCGCACTGTTAAAAAGTGCAACAAAAGTTGTTGCATAAATCGAAATATTGCTTATCATGATTGGAAAAATTGATTTCTTGCAGGTTTATGCTGCAGATGGAATGCCGCAGATGATATGCAACCTGTGCAGATGGAATTTAGATCGTTCGTACAAGTTTAAATCTCAATGTAAAAAAGCGGACGAAGCTTTAAGGGCATACCCTTTGTCGGGTGTCTTACCACGACCATTCCCACCAATATCCAATGAACCACCAGAAAGTGGAACGAAGAGAGTATGCGATCAGAGAACGCAAAATGAGAATACAAAGAAGCCACGCGTTGACAACGGTGACAGAGAAAGACGAGAGAACAGAGAACGTGACCGAGATAGGGAGAGAGAAAGAGGGGAAAGGGGGGAAAGAGAGAGAGAAAGGGAAAGGGAAAGGGACAGAGACAGGGAGCGCGAAAGGCAATCGGACAAACGGGAAAAGAGTGATACTCGTCATGATTTTTACGAAGAGGATCAAGATGCTGGCAGCGAGGACGAACAAGAGACGAATGATTCGAAAGAGGAACGTCCTAAATTAGAACCCGGTGAGATTAGGGTTCATGCTTGCGATCAATGCGAACGTACATTTCCGTTACGACAATCGCTTGTTGTACACATTCACCGTGCCCATCGCGATCGTAATTACAAGTGTACCGAATGCGATCGTATGTTTTTCTCTAAATACGATTTGGGCAAGCACATGGCTACGCATTCCGAGGAGAAACCATTCTCTTGTCAAGTATGCAACAAACAATTTTCACGAATGAGTTTGCTACAACGGCACGAAAAATCGCATCGCGACGAGTTGCGTTTCGCGTGCACGCACTGCGACGTAGAATTCTTTACGAGCGAGGAATTGCAAAAGCACGAGGATGCCGTACATAAGAAAGAGAAACCCTACCAATGTAATATCTGTAACAAACGATTCTCTTACAAGCAGGGATTGGAGCGCCACGAGATGATGCACAGCGAGGATAAGACGTTCGTTTGCGAGTACTGCAAAGAAGCTTTCCGCACTAGTACGAAATTGGCGCGCCATTTGACGACTCATGCAGGACACAGGCCGTATCTTTGCAAACTCTGTCCACGTTCTTTCCTTTTGTCCCATCATCTTACCAGACACATGCGCTCACATTCCGTGGAAAAACGTCACGTTTGCGAGGATTGCGGTAAAGCATTTAAACGCAAGGAAAGTTTGGAGGTACATCTTTTGACGCACACCAAACGCACGGGTATGGGATTGACTTGTGACGTTTGTAAGCAATCCTGTCGTAATCGGGCGGATTATGTCACCCATATAAAACAGCATATCGAGGCTGGAGAAAAAATGGGACCGGATGGTCTGGAACCGGATAATAAGGTTAAAATGGATTCGGAAGAAGAGCAGGAGGAAGAAGAACAATATTCTGATGGGGATGACGATTACGAGCCACCAGCTTATGTCATTAAGAAACTTCCGAAAGGTAAGCCTACCGAGAGCGAAGAAGAAGCTGAGAGAGCTGACAAAGAGGATCGTAAAGAGCAAGTCGTTTATGTAAGAGGAAAAGATGGTAATATGGTGAAAAAGACGATAAAAACGTTGATGCCTGTTCAACGCAGAGAAATTCAGGAAACAAAATCTAGCAATACTCCGTCGACTGTAAAGACATCGTCGTCGTCGTCGTCGTCGTCTCAATCAAAAGACGAGACGCAAAAGACTCGAGTCGACGATACGGAAGCACAAGTACAAAAGATCGTGGCTTCTGTCTTTAAAGAACATAAAATCCCTCTAAAGCATCAAAATGTTCAGGAAATTGCTAAAGACGGCACTCCTTCTTCCAGTGGTCAAACTATTAAATCTCAATCATTGTCGCAGAATTCACAAGGACAAGTAGTTTGTAAGGATGAAAAAGTAGATCTGTCGTCGATCGGTGGGTCTTCGAAATCGATTAACACGGTGAAAGTTATCAAGAGAATCGTTATGAGAAAGTCTAATACTGGTACGGATACGTCGTCGTCGTCGGTTACAACAGTAGCACCTAAAGAAGAAGTTCCGAACCTCTTAGCTCAAACGTTACCTGCTGGTGGTGGACACAAGGTTACGAAACGAGTGATAGTTCGTAGAATTATTCGTCAAGGGGATACCACGAGAGAAGTTATCATGAATCCAGATGGTACGATAATCGATCCAGCCGAGTTAGCTAAACTTCCTACTGGTAATGTTGTCAAAAGAGTGATCGTTAAGAAGCCATTGGATAAAACTTCAGGATTGGTACAGGCTGTACTTCAATCTTCTGCAGATACTCGACCAACGACTACATTGAAAACTAATGAATCCTTATCACTGGAATCGCCTAAGTTTGAGCTGAAAACATCTCAATTTTCCAACATGTCAACGTCCACACCGAAGACAACGACAGAACAGAAAATGAGTGAATTGACGAAAGGCGATCAAGAGACTAAAGAAAAGTTGGAACAATTGGAGAAACGAGTAGAACAGCAACGATTGAAGATCGAGGAACTTCAAGCACGAAAGCAACAAGAATATGAACCGATAGATGAGATGTTGCCGGAACGACACGATGAGTCGGAAGACGAACAACAATTACCATTGAAGAGGGTATTCGTTAAAAGGAAACAAAGTATTTATGATGAGGAACAAGAATATAATGATGACAAACCAATCATATTTGGTGTATTACCCGAAAAAGAGAATCAACAGGAACAACAGCAGCAGCAGGAGCAACCCGAAGTTAAGGAAGATAATCAAGAAAATGTCCAAAAGTTAGAGGTCACGACAATAACCACGACAGCAGATGGCATACAAATTGAAGTCCCTTCCCTATCTACAACAGTTACTGCTTTAACACCAATAACACCGACTACAACGGCATTGGTCCTTGCCGCTCCTGTTAGTGTATCAAGGAAAGAAAACAGACAAGGCATTGTGTCAAGCTCTAAAGTATATGGAAACAAAAAGATTATAGTCTTAAAATCCGAAGATACTACCGACGTGGATGAAATGAATCGTGAACTTAGCAGCATCCTTGATTCGGCTGATACGGTAGCCAAAATTCAAGAAACAGTATTAACTAATCTCACACAGATTTCTTCATCGGTTGGTGAAAATTCGCAAAAGATTTATACGGAAAAATTGAAACAACCGCATATTGTTGCATCTACGTCAATAGACGTTGACGAGAAACCCTCGGTGGTGGTAGAAGAAACAGTTAACGAAAAGGAACAGGAAAACAACTTGAAGATTCAAGGAGTTGTTTCTATGGATGTTTTAGATACCCAAGTGATAGAATTCAAAACGGATTTAGAACAAACCAATGAACAAATCATTGAACAAGATGAAAATCAAGAATCTAACTTAGCCTTGGATACCCAAGATCTTTCAGAGTCTACGGATATTTTTGAACCGTCGGACAACGTCTTAGACGTTCAGAAAAATGACAATACGTTAGAGGATTCGGTTATTGAGTTACATCACGAGAATGATACTATTAATTTGAACGATACCAATGATAGTCAAGACAGTCTTGAAGATAAGCTTTCACAAATGGAAGGTTAAATTTTAGTAAAGGTGTTCGTCCAACGACCCTGATTCTTCTATTTTAAGTGCATCTTAAAGAAGTTTTAGATGTACGTTTTAGTTACGAGTCGAGAATTATTCATTTGAAAATTAAGTATCTTGATATATTATCTCATACACAAACACATACACATACAGTCTATTCATACGTTTCATTCATTCTTTAGAGCTATAATCTTGCAATGGAAACAATCTATTTACATTGATGCACCGATCAAATGATTATGTTTTAATTTTTTTCACACACTATGCATGGTTCATTTTTCTTCCTATTTTTATGAAAGAAAATATCTCCCAGAAATATTCTACCTATCCGCCCCCTCCCCTTCCCTCCTCTAATCCAAAAAAATAAGAAAAATTAAAATTACAAGTTTCAAGTAGTAAGACGTGCATATTAGCAATTTGTTAAATATAATTTACAGCTGTGTTGCTAAATACAAGATTACAATGGATTAGTTTTGTGGTTATTTACGATTAAAAGATAATCGTAATAAGACGAAATGATAATATTGACATTTTAACAAGCAGTCACGATTATTCAAAAAAATTATGAAATCTAAGGTGGTGCATATACATATTAAGAATTGTTTTAAGAATATTTGTAATTATCTATCCAGATGAAAACAAAATTTATGGCATACGTACTAGTAAAATATGTTGTACATGCTAAACATCTTTTGTCTTATTATTTTCTTTTCTTTTTTCTTATTTCCTACCCTGGAAATGAAATAAATGAAACAAATAATAATCGATTGTACAGTTTTATATACAAAATATAGATAGATATATTTTATTATTTTCTATGGCAGAGGGTAGCTTGCGTTATTACATGTACATTTTATTGTCGTAATCGTATTAACAATGATAATAATTATGTATACACATACTTTTTTTTTATAAATTTTTAATATTTTTTTTAAATTTAAATTATAATTTATTGAATTATTAAATAATTGCAAATTAATCGTTAATTTAGTATTGCGAATAATACGAGAGAAAAAGGTATAATTACTGAAAATGAATTTTTTTCATTTTTGGTCAACGTTTTTATACAAATGATTAAATACGAAACCTTATTTTAATGTTGATAATGTAAGACTAAAGCAGGAAATAATATAATTATGTTGGATGATTTGATGAATTTTTTTTATTTTTCTTAATTATCGTCGATGCTGCGATAGCATGCAGATAACATTCAGTAAGCAGAAAAAATAACCGGACAACGTTTGAGATTCTTTATGTAAGTATGAAACTATTATAATTGAAGCAAAAAGTTGTCACAAGTGTGTCAGCTTTTTATAATAGAGTTTATCGTCTTTGGCTTACTCAAAAGTGTTTTTTTATTTGTTTTAATAAATTATTAGTGTATTCTCAATTGGGTCAAGTTACGCAGAATAATGTCAAAATCGAATAATTTTAAATCAAATTTTGTAGATCATAAAAGTACAATTTTACAAAGTACAATAATTTGTGTTATTTATTTAAATATAAAATAGCAACTCTGTTTATTTAATTGTTAATCATATTGAGGATCCGCTAAATGTCTGCATAACTAAGCCCAATTAACGGAGTATTAAAAAATATTTCATGTTATTTCTAAAAGTTATATTATTTGATTATTATTTCATGCAGTTAACCATCTTCGTTTATTTTCATATCGAAGAGAAATTTAAAGGCTACGTAAAAAGAGGAAGGAGTTTAGTAACTTGGCATGAGGGTTGAAATTAGTGATGTTCGATGAGTAGTCAAGCGGGGTGGACGTTCTTCCTGCTGGTAAAATTCTGGAGCTGCAAAACAATAGTTTTCTATCATTGACCACCTAATTATCCTGCATTTTTGTGTCTTCGAATCATTTCGATTTGTTGTTTCTTTATAGTCCTCCTCTTCCGCTGTCTATGTACTCGAACCTCTACGAGATAAAAACGATGAGAAAAAAAAAGCAAAAGAAAGAATTGACTTAACAAATATTCGAAACATTTTGTTAATTGAATAAAGTTTAGCGTTATGTGGATTGTTGAAGACACAAAATATAATAGTCATTTTGTTAGAAATATATTTGAATATTTTTTTATATTATATCCTTGTGCAATAGATAAAAATATAAAAGAAGATCGTACCTCTTTCTCTTCCAAAGCTACAGTTGCGTATTGCCTGGTAGATATTTCTTCTTTCTTTGCTGGACCAACAGCATGAGTATAAATCAAACCTCCGGCAAGTCCACCGAGAATAGGTCCCACCCAATATAACCAATGATCGTCAAATGCACCCATAACGACCGAACTTCCTAACGATCGTGCTGGATTCATTCCAGCACCCGTTCGTGGAACCTAAAACACATATACGATTTGCATGATAAAACCCATACGCGACTGTTATTTTGTTTCTATTGAAAAATAAAATATCTTACACCAACGATGTGTCCAACGGTAACGGAAAGTCCAATCAGTAGAGGTGCTATACCTTTACTGTCAGATTTTGCATCGTCGCATGCACCACAGACAACCAAAACCAGTATCATTGCAAGGAAAAATTCTATTCCAAGACCTTGAACCGGTGTTACCCCTTCGGCGAGAGATACAGTACCGAGACTGGCTTCCATGCTTTCGGCAGAAAGTGCCCTTAGTATAGCCGAACCAGCGATAGCTCCAGCACTTTGAGCAACCACGTAAAGAATTCCTCGAATAATTGCTACCTGAGACAATATAATTTAACATAAATCATAAATTTATTTCAAGTAAGAACAAATTTGTATCGTTGTAATTATTCTATTGACTTATAGAAAATGTAGAAATATGTGCAACTTGATAATATGAAAGAAACGTAGAAAATTGTTTTGCAAAATGCCAGCTCATTGCGGTCATGAAGTAACCAACGCGTAATTAGAGATCTCCGAATGAGCGATTACGCGTTAACTACTTTGCATTACCTAGCGCAAAGTGATAATTTATTCGATCGTGATATTATGATCAATTTATGACGGTTCTTTTATTTCATTAATTTATAATTACGCGTTTAAAGTAAACATAGCAGAATTATTTGCCTAAAGCGTTAGGCATATTTTTCGGATTACCATAAACGGATAATCGATGAAACGTTTCATTAGAAAATAATAATCATAGTAAAAAGCGTTAATTAATTATTTTCTCAAGAATTTCATGATCTAAGGTGGACGCGAATATTTTCTAGCGAAAACAATTATTTTAATCTATATTTGTTCGTATCGACAAAAGAATAGGACAATGATTATAACTTTTTTTCGCGCACGATAAAATAAACGTACGCGTATGCGTCAGTATTCTTATTGGTAACATGTAACCGCAGATTGTTTTATCTGTAGTACCATGGTGGTCACCCGTAACCACTGGTAAGATAAACGTTCTATGAATAAGAACGTAATCTTATGTGAATGACTGAAGAGGAAAGGGGTATAGATAAAATTTCGGTTAGATTAGATATCGTCAATTAGACATTAGTTTCTTTAATTAGTAACTTACCACCCTCTTTTCTTTTCATAAGCAGATTTATTATTACTTAATGATATTATATGCTAAGAATAGAACCTTTGTACCTTTCCAATAACCATTAAACCAAAGGTAACCGCAGGATTGATGTGACCACCGGAAACGTGGCCTATTGCTTGTATCGCAGCTGTTACGGTCAAACCAAATGCAAGACTTATTGCAACAACATTACTTGTCACGACCGATCCACAACCGAAGAAATTTAACAGCATGGTACCAAGAAATTCAGCTAATAAAGCCCGGTAAAGGCCAGACTTTTTATCCGTGAGCTCGTTCACCCCAATGGCTTCTTTTAAATTCACCATCTGTAAGAAAGAAATATTTTTTTTCTTTTTTTTTTTTATTATTACAAAAATACACAAATTTTTCCATTGTCTATTATTCCAGATAAAATATTACAACGATGGAAACGATAATGACTCATAAACAACACGTGTTTATTTTTTGTTTGCATCGGTTATGTGATTTTTCTGGTAACGATATCTGACTCATGATCGATAAATTTTCCATAGTAAGTTAGAATCGCGCTAAGGGCATATGGAAGTTTTTGTCTTTCTCTTCCTAATGCATTCATCATATTTCTCTTTCATTCGAATGGTACCGTTTCGTTTACCGTTAATCACGAAAAGGTAAAGTGTCGTTCACTTTTTTCCATTGTTCATCGAACTAGTAAAGTTAGAAAATATGCAGGTAGACATCATTAATAGCACGATCGATACAAAGTAACACGTTTTCTTCGAATAATGGTCAAATGAAAGAATGAGAGAGATTAATGTACACGTACATACGCATATACAAACATATTATGTATATGCTTATATATGTATGTACATATAGATAATAGTGTTAGATAATAAGAATGGAACGATTAGAAGATGCAAGTCGACACTTGCATCAAAACACAAATAGTGCTAATCGCATAACTCGCTAAGCGTAACATTGTAGGAAAGTAAAATAAGATACAAATATAATTGAGAATGCAATAAGAAATGCAAATAGTGCTTATAAGAATAATACAGAATGAATTAATTAAACATGAATGTAAGATCGGTCGTAAATATTGCACGTGAAATAGGAATAATAAAAGTGTAAGAAATGCGGATTAAAGTATAGAAATAAAATAGAATTGTATAAATTTGAGATAAAATAATGAATAATAATAATAACGAAAGATAAAAGAGAAGATAGACAGTTACGGTGTGATGTTTCGAATATGTTTAGCGATTCAGCATCGGCTCGGCTCAGCTCGGTCTGCGAATTTAGATCGAGGACGGTCGACGTCAAGGGACACATCGATAGAAACGATACCAAAGCTTATTTTACGTTTTAACGAGTCACCATATATCCAGGTTACATTACGCATGCAGATCGGCACATCCTCGCTGGACAAGAATCTACCGATCTTGGCAAGAGCCACGAATTTAGGTACCAATTTACTGATTCACTTCAATCAACAAGTCGATTTCATTCGCGTCAATTTTATTCTAACACAATTTATAGTCACCAATAATTATATCACATATTTTTTCGATTTTTACCTTCGTCCGAGTAAAAATTGAAGAATAATTAGCAGATTTAAAAAGTATCTATCATGTCAATCGAAGGACGCATGCATCATTTTTATATATTTTTGTATTATCCTTTCAGTGACTCGAACAATCTTCCGGGACGTGATCTAATACTTTTCTAACTAATCGTAAATGATCGATGATCGAATACCACCACCTTTCTAACAACAATAACTGAACTATGCATGCCAAACAAAAAACCATAAAAAAAAAGAAGATTAACCATGACGCTGACGCGTTCATAATCTGAATTTTATATTCTACACTTTTTCGATCATGATAATAATCATCGAACGAATCGATTATAATTCTTTCATTTTTTCTTTTCATTCATTTCGAGATCATTCATTCGCAATCAGATAGATGATTACGCAAACGGATATTATTCGAGATGTCCTCTAAATCGTGTCTCACGAATAATGTGGAGGTGGTTACTTTATTTCACGATGATGTCAAACGCACACACACACACATGGACAAATATTAGAGAGATCGTTACATCCTCCATAAGTAATCCACCGTAACGATGCGTTCGTTGTGTTACCATAAACTCATATGTAAAATTTACACAGTTAATTTAGTATACGCTAATCATTACGAAATCGCACGAACGCGATCTCAAATGTTTTAAAACAAACCAAGGGAAGATATTATGTTTGTGTTACTAGTATTCTTCATTGAGAATGAGACGATGTAGTCCGTAGTTAATAGTAATAAATAATTATTTGATTACCATTATTAGAATATGATTACTGTAATAAGTCTATTAGAATTGTGTAATTATATTCATTCAATATAAGTTCTGACTACAAACACATTATGTACAAAAATATGTTACGTATTAAAAAAAGAAAAAAAAAGAAAGTAGAAAAGTTTTATATTGTAGTATCGAAACAATGTATGGGTTTTTCTGATGAATATAATCAACGCATATATATTCATTCATTCTGAGAATGAATTCATTCCGATTCTCGTAATTTCTACGCGCCGCGATGATTCTAACCGTGAAATCCCAAAAAGGATTATTGTATTAGTCAAATTTTGAATGTCCCTTGGTAAATTTCCATGATTCTCGAGAAAGCAGAAAGAAACCGGTTGATTTGACATAAATTACCGGTTGCGTCCTCGTAGATTTATCGAGTATGGAACCGTTCGTTTCTTTTTTACACGGTCGTTGTCCTTCTATGGTTCTGAATCCATTTTTGTTCTCTCTTATTTATTTCTTTTTTTATTCCATACGTTTTCTCTATGCTCTTTGTGTTTCTTTGCTATTTAAAAAAAAAAAAGAAAAAGAAAAAAAGGTTAAGGCTATCGAGACGTAAATAGTTACAAAAATAAATCGTCAAGCAATTTACAATATAATTTTGATATTATTATTATTGCTTTCGGTTTTACGTTTTTTATGGGGATTTATTGAATTTTTCTCATTTTTCTAATATTAATTATATAAGTGATTCTCGAAATTTGTCGAAGAGAACAATGAAATATAAGAATGAATATTCTTTTGATTCGTAAAGGTGAAAATTACCATAAGTAGATGTGCAATGATTGAAATTTTTCAACCGTTTGAAGTTAAAGATAAGAAGAAAAGGTCTGGAAGCGCGTTTGGCGCGTTTCGTGCATGTGAAATATATTGGCACTACTTAAGAATGACGCATGAAACGTCTACCACATAAATGTAAACAATCCTAATGCACTTTCCTTAGTTTTTCTCGCGAATTCCGTTTAGTCGTGTATTTTATTTTTTACTTAAATGTCCCGTTTCTTTTCCCTTTCTATTATCTTTTTAACAAGAATACTGTAATACATAAGTCATATAAATTGTTGATAATTTACAAATATAGAACGTTTCTGATTGAATAATTGCAATACGTGTATGATCTAGCGTGGGAGAAAAATAAAAAGAAATAGTGCAATACACACACACACAATCTAATAAAAACATTCATATATAAATTATAACAAAATGTGTTATCTATCACCAAAAGAATGGTAAAAACAACAAAATCTATAATAATTAATTCTGTTCTATCAATTCGGTATTGAAAAAAAGAAAATTGTATCTCAAAAAGTAAGATAAAAATATAATGAACTAACACATACCTCGAGTAAGTATAATGAATGAGAAATAAAAGATGAAATGATCCTTCCTTCGATCCTTTGACGAACGAATAACAACACGCGACTAAAGATGTTTTTTTCTATCAGTTGACACAATTGTTCGAAAATATGATAATACAATAAAATAATAGATTAGTATAGGAGATGATGCGATGATGATCAGAAGACTCGGCGTACAGGCCGGAGGAGTTTCCAAGAGACGACTGTGTCGGTTCTCTTTCGACCATAGAGATACCGTTCCCGGGTGACGCGTGAGTGTGTACAAATAAGTGTGTGCGTGTGAGTATCTCTAACTAAGCGCGTATACGACTTTGTCTGAATATGAGAGAGAGAGAAAGAGAGAGTAGGGGATACTGACAATGTGTAACCACGATCTTCAAACTATCTCACCTAATGTTCTCCTATTTTTTTCTATTTTTTTTCCATTTTTTACAGGGTCCAATAAAGATGTTTGCAATTTCTTGACGTCACAAATAATATAATTTGTGTATGAATTATTGTTTTATTTATTTCTTTTAAACTTGTATTACAGAAAAGTCTTTTCATCCACGTATTAATATGTAAGATTGATTTGAATTAAGGTACTGCAAGGAATGCAATATATTTTGAAAGTTTCGATTTTGAAAAAGTCAAAACTTAGTTTACTCCCTCTTTCTATTTCTATTTTTATTTCTCTATAGTGGAAGCCCGTTAATCGAACTCGAAATGGAACCGGGCCCAATCCGGATGACCTAAAAATTGCTTCACGTCACAAATAGTACGGTTTTTATAAATTTGTTTGGTCAACGATCACGTCTCGGTGTAATATACTGATCATATCATTTTTCTTTGATATACTCTTAAAACATTATCAACGATAAACGTTTTTAACAATTAATATTACGTACAATATAAATTCAGTAGTAATTAAAAAAGTGTTATAAGTTAAAAATATAATGTTTTATATAAAGTATAATCTTTTGTAATCCGGATAAACCGGTAATTTGGATTAACGGGATAAAGATAAATGAAACTCCTGGGGGTATTCGTCTATCTTTTTATCAATCTCTTTCTTTTCAGCTTGTTAGAAAAGAACTCGGATGATATTGTTGCGACATGGTCTTGGTCAAAACACGTAATTAGGTATCTGTTTAGGTACATGCAACGAAATCATATGAAAGAAATAAATGCATTTTTTAGTTTATCCTTGATTCTCAGAGACGATGGATTCTACGCCAAGAATTGCAACAATTTATAAGACTTCAGAGACACATAACCGTGAGTTTAATTTATATATTATTGTTATATTTATTGTTGATCTTGGCTAGCATATTTGAATAAAGTAAAACATATTATACTTTGTGGATATAATAAGATTTGAATACTTGAATGAGATAGAGAGAGAGAGAGAGAGGTAATATAATAAAAGAAAATTTATCTATTTTGAATCAACCACCGCCAAAGTATTTTCTCGACAAATACTGGTATGAATTTTTTGAAAGATCTACTTATTTGAATATATTCCTGTCATATTTGATTAAACCGATCGTATATTTCAATTAGTTGAAACTTATTTCGAGGGATTTGATAAGTTCGAACGGTTACAATGATTAGACTGCAAGCGTAGGAAGCAATAATTGTAATATAAGTGGACAGGAACGTGTCAGGTTACAAATTGATCGAATTGACTGTTTTACATTCTTAAGTGTGATCATGTGAAACACTTGTAAAAGTCTATACGTTATATAGGTAATACTTATATGGCATAAATAAACGTAAAATGTAGGCCGGGGTGGATAACGTTTGTATAGGTGGCTGGTTAGATGTGTACGTGTGTTACATATTTGTGTCGACGGTAAACATTGCTAATGCGTTATCGACTTTTACTGCCAGAATTATATTATCGCGTTGCATTGTTTTTTTTTCTTTCTTTCTTTCATTTAAAGGAAAAATAAATAAATTTGTTGATAATATAGGTTCGCGTAACGATTCAATAAGAGAAAGAAAACTGTCTACACGTATACTCTTATTATACTCGCAAACAACCATAATATCTTCTTTTTCTATCACTATTAAACTGATTCCAACTATGAACGTCAACGTCAGCATCAACATCGAATCGACCTGAATCCAGTTCGTCCTGTAAAAACCTGATATTTCGTATATGGGATCTTTACGAGGCACACATGGCCGCGTGTTGTATGTTTTTCTGAGAAACTGTTGTGAACTGGACAGGAGGATCACGACCTCGTGATAATTCCGGCTGCATAACTCCTTCTACGTGACTATCTTTTTCTACAATACACACACACACACACATTTTATTTCATCATATATATAGAAAAATGACGGTAAACTCCGGTCAATATTTTATGCGTTCTATGAATTCGCGTTATTCGAAATCGTTTTCTATCCTAAATTTTCCTCCTATTACGTGATTCATTATTTTTTGGATACAGTGACTCAAAAATATTCCAAAATAATTAACATTTTAGTTTCGTATTTCAAATATAACAGTAGAATATTTTTAGAAAAATTATAAATAGTATAAGATATGTTTTTTCTCTCTCTCTCTCTCTCTCTAAAACAAAATGGTTATTATGCCAGGAAATATTGAAACTATTTTTGAAATATTAAATTACATTAAATGAAATAATAAATGTGAACTTTGTCCGAATATTTGTGTGAGAGTCAAAAAATGCGACATTATTTTGTTTCATAATTCTACAAATAATGATAATAATAATGACGCAATTGATTTTTTATTTCTTTCTAGCTTGGTAAAACTTCTAGTATTCTTGGAGTATTGTAAAACGTAAATGCAACGAATCAATATATGTATAATATAATAGTACGATGTGCCAAAGACACTTATGATTATGTTAGTAATTTTATCCTACACAAATTGGAGGTACGTGCGAACGTGACAGTATCATGCAGATTGTAATGCACAGATAAATCGATGCTTAAATTTTAATGTTCCATAGCTGTTTTCTATCAAGCCTTTCAAATACTACAAAGCCAATAGACGAAAGAAACCAGACGGCTTGCATTTTGATTGCGTCCGCGAACGATACTATATTCGGATTTATAACCTAATGATTTATAACGAGAAAAATACGATCACTATAATTAAACTTTCTGCCCATTTTCTGCCCATTTTCATTCCTACGGCATACTATCGCGAAAATTTCGTTTATTATCAATTTGTTTATTGTTTGCAAGTAATAATTGTATTTTTGTATGTTTTCTTATGATGCATTTTGTGCATTCGCTTCAGCAAATAACCTAAAAAAACGTAATATCGTTGAAATCGTAGGAAAATATCAAATTGTGTAAATATCGAAATAGTCGGGTTATACGTACGCAACAACAGTTCTACTAACAAAATCCAATATATGCGCGCAACATATTTTAATATTAAATTGCGTTACGATTATTTCAATCGTTAAATTCATGTGCTAGGATTTTTTTTCTGACGATATTTCTCTACGAAAAAACGAAATGACTTTCTGAATATATAAATATAATTGACATAATCTTACTGATTTTTACTGATCCTATATAATAGATAAAAGAAAAAATTGTATCGATTGATCGTAGGACATCGGAAACAACAACTGTATGTGTTACGGAATAATAAAATTCTGTATGTATGTATGTATGGCAAAGTTAGAAATCATGTTATGCATTCGCATCGCGTTTCATCTATCTTTCGATCCGACGACGTATGCTAATTATCGTGATATTTTAACACGCGAGCTGGCTGTTCTCCATACCTTCAACAGCTAACGCGTTCTCCTAACGTTAATAACGAACTTCGAACCCGGAATAAATATTAATAGTTGGACGATGGCATTAGCGTAAATCAAATTCATTCGTGTCATTTTCAACTGTATTAGAACTGGGTAAAAAAGAAAACGGTGTTCGATTGTCCGACAATATGACAGGTATAATTTTATTACAACCACAGTTCTTTCTACCTAAATTTTCAAATTTATATGAATGTTTTTTACAGAGGACGAATGTGACTTTTGTTGCATTTCAGTCAATTTGTTAATCACTTTTGTATCGTAAACCATACTTTTTCAAGTTACAATGATGCTAAATTGAACGATTACAAGAGCCAACAACAAATCCGCATTTATTTATTTCAAATCCAAATTTGTTTATAAGTCTTGAATAAAGGGATTATTCGAAGGAGATTTTAATTATAACTATTTCTGTTATCTTTACTTGTAAAATATGCTTCGGTAGATTGCTTGATAAATTCTGGGACATCCTGTATACGTGCATATATGTATATCCATATACACGTAAGTGGATCGTTTGTTATAAGGTATGACCGGAAGTGGAGAGTAGCGGAACGATTATCCGACTCGTAAGACCTCTTATCTCATCGTCCTTCGTATATGTACCCAATGCTATTCATTTTGGATTTAAAGGAGTTAGAAAAGGTCGAGGTCGCTCAAAAATTTGATGTCTACAACAATTTCGTAGTTTATGCTCGCGAGATAAATAACCTGTCGAAGTGGATATTTTATATCCGGAAATTGAAGATTTCTTGATAGTTTATGGGGTGATTAATAATAGGGCTAAGTTATCCACACAGGAATTCACTATCAATGATTTCGTATGGGTTCAATAATTTGTAATAATAAATAATACAAATTAATAGAACATTTTTTGTGTACTCGTCAACAGTTATTTTTAACAATCTGTACAGGCATATGTAAAATTGTTTTTTAACTTGTCATAAGATAAAAAAATAAAAAATAAAGAAGAGAGGGAGAGTGTTATTGTCGTTGGTTGATTGATCGTATAAACAGTGTTACCTCTACCATATTCTCTGACCATCCCCATTTGTCACGCGAGAACGGCATGGTCGATGTCAAGGCCGTTTGCCGTACTCTCTCTCTCTCTCTCTCTCTCTCTCTCTCTCTTTTTTATCCCTTCGGATCAAGAATCGTTCGTGCAGCAAGCACGACGACGCACCGCAACAGCATTGTTCCATTGTTGTTTCACTTAAACGAGTCCTTCTTCTTCTACTTCTTCTGGCACAGGTGCAACGATAATTTTTCCTCTTCTTTTTCTTGTTCTTTAATTAGATCAACATTAACTTTGAACCTTGAACGTAAGCTATAGTTTTTGAAAAAAAAAACGAGTTAAAACCATGATTAAAAATGCAGGAAGGAAGATAACGATAATAACGGGGTGAATATGTGCTATATTATGTGCTGTATTCTCTAGAGAATATTATGGTGGTGGCGCGAAAAAAAACAATTAGAGTTGTGCATCATCATCATTCAAAGACTAAACGCGACACCTACGTTAATCTTTGGAAAGAGTTTTTGGTCTTCCATTCGAGTTTCAACAACAGGGCTAAGAGGTTGACCGTGCCAAAAGACCGAAAAGTAAGTGTCACATTGTTTTCATTTTATTCCCATATCGTTATGGGATATATTTTCCATTTTATTCATCATTAATGTTTCTTCGTGAAAAGTGATTTTGTATATTTGGCTTCTTTATCCAGAAGTAATTTTCATTGACATTTATCAGTTATATTTTTTTAACACGAAACAAACACGAAATTTCATATCGAAACCGGTCGAAATGACTTTTTATGCTAAAACGAGTATCCACCTTTTTTTTTTTATACTGCCTTTTTATAAAACAATATTTTGCCTATTCTGATTTACATTGTGTTTGTTTTTCCCTTGCATAAGATATTTGATCGATAACAACCGGTTTTCTCGACTCGTTTGCTAAAAATAGTTTTGCATTCATTATCGGTAGATCTAATATGAAGGATATATTTAGTATAAATAATGCATATGTAAATAAACAAATTTGTATTGATAATTATAGGTAAATGCATCTTTTCCGTATTGAATAATTGTTTGAAACTGTTTCTCTTCATCGAATATATCAGAATTATTATTGACAAATTACTGTTTGAAGCGAATAAGAAAAATGAGCTGAAGAGAGGAACCTTTAAACACAGGAGTTACGTGATCGAACGTCGTGTAAAATACCACGCGAAGTCCTTTGTGTTTCTTTCATTCGTTCTTTTATTTTTCTATCTTTATCTCTTTCTCACACATCATAATTATTATTTTCGCGGAGTCTCGGCACAAACCTAGAATCTAATGAATCCGTTAACGACGGATTACGCTTTAATGCGCCGTCCAATGAAACCAACTATCGTTCACCCTGAAATCGTATTCTCGTTGTAATACTTTGATCATTTTTCAAGATCTTTATCAAGGCCACCGGATATACGCCGAATTATTCGATTTGAACAATATGCAACGAAATGAATGCGGAAATCCTTTTCATTTTCATGATACATTTCGATTGATCGTAAATAAATTTAAAAATAATATTTCTAGCATGGATATCATTTTGTTATAATAATTGACGTTTAATACAGAAAACGAATATCGGTATGAACGTATCAACGGTATTTCCCGAGGGACACTCGAGAAATGGGCAGAAATTACAACGCGAAAATTCTCTCGCATCGAAAGAAGAAGAAGAAGATCACTATAAGGAACACTGCTTTCGTGAGTTAACTGTTATCATAATTATGTTAAATATGCATTGTGTATACCGTTTGTTTGACAATGCAATAATTGATCCTTCATCGATCTAATTATTATCAATGCGTACACTCTAATTGCTAATATTAATTATCTTACCACTAACAAAGATTTTGCGCAGGAATTGTTTATATAGAGAAATATTTACACGTACGTACCATACAATTACCATAAAATTAGCTGACGTAATTCGATAAAACTTTAGTAGTATCTTTATGTATTACGTATGAAAGAAGTTTTTTTTTTCGAAGTTTTCCATTCGTTTGAATGTTTTCCGCGTACGGTGTTCACCCATCCGCGAATATAATTCGAATGTTAATGATTAAATAATGATCGGAATCAATGATTTCAATGATCAATGCCGACTACGATCAAAGAAAGAATCGAAACTATTGTTTTTTTTCTTTATTTTACGCTACCTGTTGTAATGCTAATATATCGTGCGGTTTTTTTAGATTCGTTTAGAAATAAAATAATCTTGTATCGTTTATTTTTCCATCTAAGAAACGCGTCATTTGTTTACTGACTTTTCCCATCAATAATTATAAAATATATTGTTAGATATTTAGTTGTGTGTCGAATTGCATTTTTCATATCTTTCAATTTTCTTTATAAAATCAGCAAGAATTTTTCATCTCGTTATTCGATCCACCTATAATATTCGTTCAAACTATTTTTATTGGTCCAAGAGTAAACTAGAAGAAGAACTTTATACTCCTCTGTACACGATCGTGTAAATTTACCGATCGAACAAATTTGACATAAGATTCGAACGGATACGTTGCTAAATCGTCGTTCCATTTTACCGAATAACGATTCGACGTAGAATTTCATTTAACGAGTTGTATAACCTTGACGCTACGAACATTCTCGGAGAAGTTGCACGTGCTAGAGCTAGTACGCGAACGCAAAGAACAGTTCTTACAAACAGTACGAGAGAAAAAATACAAAGAAAAAGAAACGACATTTGATATTAAACATATTAAAAAAATAATATATCAAAAAATATACGTCAGAAATATGCAATCAATTGCAATATTTCATTTATTTCTTCGAATTCTTCCAACAATTGAGTAGGTAGACACATTAACAATCATTTTCGAGAATGTCATAGAGACTTTTTTTTTTTGTAAGTTTATAAAAAAAGAAACGATGATCATATTTGATTGCTTTTTCTTCGTATTAACGTCATCGCGTTAACGTGGAACCAAATTTGTTTCTGATATTAGTATAACGATGGTAGGAACATAACAGGTACGATAATTTCAACTTCCTGCGATCTGGAATTTTTTCCAGAGTTTTTAATTAACAATAATTACAAATTGTTTATTAACCTGTAGTTTAAGATAGATCAAGAATTCGTGATAATAATAATATCACGTGATATTTCTGATCCATTACGTTCTTTGCCTCGAGAGTTACGCCTATTAAAAAATAATGACGTTGCTAGTACTGGAAAGAAAAAAAGACTAAGACAACAACGAAAAAAATAAAAAGAAAAGAAAAAAAAATAATTAATACGAGTGTACACTATCTCTCATATACTATTTATTAATATGACATTATGAAAGAGTAAGAGTTAGAGAGCAAAAAGTAAAATAAAATTGAAACGGACAATTCCCTGGTGTATCATATCAGAGATAAAACGGGATTATTCATTTAAAACACTCGCTTTTGTTATTTAGTTTATTACCCCTTAACGATCAATAGAGAATATTCTATTATTATTTTTTGTATCGATTTGAAAAGATCACTTTCATCTGTTTGCAATTGGCAAGCAGAAATTTTTCGAAAAAAAAACCAGACGTATTTAATATTAATTATTATGGTCGATTGGCAAAAGCCTAATATTGATCTTGGTGAATGAAATACAAATGCAAAAAATTCATCGATCCTTTGAAAATCGATCTAACAAGATCAATTCAATTAGCGCTCGTTGTTATACGTTCGCGGACTGATAAAACACGAACTCAACGGGTTACATGTTTCTCGACTTAATATTTACCGATATACTTGCACTCCTGTTACACGTATATATATATATATCTACGAGTATATACAGCGCAACCGATAAAAATAATCATATGTTATTTTTTGTCTTTTTATAAATCAAGTAACTCTTGGAACTATTTGAAGAATTATTAGTTAAGAAAAAAACAATAAGCGTTGATCTATCAACGTGTAAGGTATATACTTTCTTATCATAAATCAACATGAATAAGAATTTGTAGGTACGATAAATTTCTATTACTTCATGCCGACATTTTATATAAAAAAACAACAAACAAAACAAAAAGTAAAGGATAATCGAATCAGGTTACATTAGTTTCGCATTATACTTGAAATAAAATAAATTATTCGATCGATATCGTGGTCAATTTATGCGACAACCATTCCTCATTATTATCAGATAAGATAATGCAATTAAATGGATATTATATATCTATAGTCGGGTGACAATAGTTAAATGACTTTTTCAAGTAACAATATTATAAATAAGGAACGGTTTCTTCTTCTCTCTTGTATGTTTAAGGATAAATGTTCTGATTAAAATTTAATGACATCACGGAATCATTTAAAAACGATATCAAAGCGAATTACGTTATGTACGTTAACTATATACGAAAACTTTGACAAATGTATTATTGGTTGGTTGCTATTGAAATACGTCAACGTTAGTGTTATCTTAATAAAAGAACAGGTGTACGAGAGAAAACTATTTACGGAAGACAACATTGCCACGTAGTGACCTAATTAATGGCGCTTAATTACTATCGAGGGACATAACGCTGAACGCACGCTTATGCTGCAATTTCAAAGAAATTTCAATAAACACGCTCCTATTATTATTACGTATTTATTACAATTTTTTATTCTACTACACACACAAAAGTTTAATCAAATTAAAATGTAATATTTATTACGGAATAGTAAAAAAAGAAATGAAAAGAAAAAAAGGGGGGTAGGAGAGAAACACGAATAGTAAGAATAATATGTTTCGTTCTTTTTTTCTTTTATATTCATCGAGATGACACGAAAGTAACATAAAACGTGATTACCAAAACGAAACATTACGTGCTTCAAAATGAAGTACATTACTCAGAAGTACATACATATGTATGTATATAGATGAACGATACGTTAACGTTAACTGCGTAAGAGTGGAAGAAATAATCGTTAAATTTTTGTATTTCTAATGCTGGGACAGAATCAGTTAAACTGATCTCGTATTCGAAAAGTTAGAAAGAATGAAGACCAAAAAAAATGATATCATCTTTCGTACAATAATATGTAAATGTGTAAGTGTAGGTATGGTTATTCTTGAATCAAGATACGCATCTCGGTACATTCCCATGGAAAGCAACAACAACGTTCTCGACTAGTTTCGCGTTAACTCTAACACTCTTGCGTAAAAAACTTAATGCGGTGAATGAGATTCCATAGGAACAGAGGAAAATCTTTTATCCTAAAACGGATATTTCGGATTTTCCTATGTCACGCATCCTTTGCGAATCAATTTCTCCTTGCAACTTGATGATAACCCAATTGTGCATCGTACTATTATTAATTAGTAAAGTTTCATTTAAAAACAAATACTGTTTAAATATTGATCAAAAGTATCTTATCAACTGTTAACACTGATTTCTTTTTCGTGTCGATCTCTACCCTAATATCAAGAATTCATTTCCATAATAATCTCCAATAATAATCAGTTGATTCAGATCTATACATATATAAAAAAAATATAATACCTCGTGTAAACGCTAACAAGTGTGTTAAATCTCATTCAATAGATTTATCCTTTGCGATGAAAAAAGCCATGATATTCTGGTCACACGTGTGTCACTTCGACAAATTACCATAATTAATAAAAAGAAAACAAATATATACACGTAATGTTTAGAGGAATAATAATAATAATCTAAATACACGCCAGAATAGAAATAATTTCGACGAATGGGATATGCAGTACTAAACGGCTACCGATCGCAAAGGATTAATTATTTGTCCGGTTACGTGTACGCCGTCGTACATAGCACACGTAATTAATTAATTACCATTACGTACATTATCATTCTGTTATCATATCAAGTCTTTTGCGCGTTTTATTATTTCGTTAAATTTATTAGCTCGTGCATCGCTACGTAAATACATAAACGTACGGTTAACCATTAGAAGTTTCTTTTACATTTCCTTATCTTCGTTAACAAATAATAATGTATCATTACAATAGTTCACAATAACGCCTCGTTATATTATCAAACTCAACACTTTGATATTATCCATATTATCATCCTTTCTACGTTTTTAAATGATGAAAAATATACTTTAGTTTATCGTTTCTCGAGAGATTCTCAAAACAAGTATCGCGACACCATAAAGGATGTTCACAAATTTTGGTAAAGTTTGACGAATTCGTTTAAATATCACACAATCAGTATAACAAAATGTATATCTCATTGAGTTTTTCGAGTTGTCTCGCGCGTAGTGGTGGTGGTGGTGGTGGTGCTGATGGGTGGTGGTGGTGGTGGTAAGACAAGGTAACTGATGCTGATGACGACGAACAGAGACAGAAAGAGAGAAAGACAGTGGAGGGGAAAAACTGTGGTAGAGAAGAACGATATATGAAGGCGAAACTCGGACTCCGCCGAATCAATAGTCCACAAACTCACGTGCGAACGACACATATCACCAAATTCTATATACACACACACACATATATATATATATATATATATATATATTTTTTTTTTCGTGCGAGTTGTGAATATTATAATAGTATCCACCCGATATAAACATAAACATATGTACAATCTGTGAAGGAACCGAGTTAAACATCATCTCGACGTTTGCTTTCGACTCCGACAGTTTCGTCCCACCTTTTATTTTCTTTTCGATCTTAATAGGTGGACGAACAAATAAAAATCTTTTTCTTTTCTTTTCTTTTCTTTTCTTATTTTTTTGTTCTTTCAAACGTTTCTTTGGAACCATGGGCAAGGCGTGGAAAGGTAAATTTTATTCGGTCATCTTATTATTTCGTTCCTTTTTTTTCTTGTTTTTTTAATCGCAATAAAATATTCCTAAGTGTTTTTTAAGTCACGCGTGCAAGCAAGTACCCGTAGCGTACAACTCTTTGAAATGAAAACTAACGGATGTATATAAAGAAGAAAAAAATATCTAACGTAAGATAAGAAATTCTTATCGGTGTTTCGAGTTTGCTACTGTTGTAACTACTATTATACGCTTTCTCGATTTTTATCTGAACGTTATGTCATAGTTTTATTGCTTTTATTGCTGCCAGGGTTGGTCCAACGTAAACTTCAATGATGCCTAACTACTAAACTTACGGATACTTTACCAACGGATTAAGATATCATATCTCTTATTCTTTTTATTTCTCTCTTTCTTTTCTATACATATATTATCTTTTCTATATATGTATATGTATGTATCTGTGCGTATTTACGATGCGTGTAGTTTGGAAGTGAAGATTTTGAATGAGCTGTGCTGACCTTTCATGTGTTTTTTTTCTGTTGCATGTACGCAAACGAGAGACACGATAATCGGATTAACGATGATAGAATAATTCTTGCATGATCTCTTCCTCAACTCGGTGTATAGCAAAACTATTTATTAACAATTTTTCCGCAGCCCAATTAAACTTCAATATAAACGAATTGAAAACAACTTATTTATATTAATCAGTAATTAACGAATGCAAATTAAATTGTGATACAGTTTCTTTTTACAATATTTCACATATCTTTTTATTGTTTTCTTATCGGAATTTTATCGTCTCTTTTATTTCCTGTGCACTCGTTCCTTTCAATAATTCAAAATAATGTATTTTTATCATGAACGATAAACATATGAGTCAACTTAATTCATATGCACGTTTAACTCTTCTACGATTCCGTTTTTTCCTTCTCAGGCGTTAAAGAGTTCATCGGAGTAGAAGAAGTAGCAAAACTCGAATTTTTGGTGGCACTTTTTGCCGAAGCCCTTGGAACCTTTCTGTTGGTTCTCATTGGTTGTGCTTCGTGTATCACATGGGTGGAAGGACAAGCTCCTAGTGTCCTGCACATTGCATTCACGTTCGGTCTTGCAGTTGCAGCTTTGGCACAGGTAAGTTTGTATTTTTATTTTCTTTTTTTTCTGTACTATTTATCGATATATAGAATCGTGTTTACATTAGAATTTGATTTATAAGATTTGAAATCCAAATTCATTGGATTTCCCCAGAGAATTAAAATAGACAAATTAGATTGAAAAGAAAAAAGATGGCTATTCGTGATAATTTGAAAACAAGGATGAGAATTCGGTAAAATCTTGTAAGAGATGTAATTAACCGAGGTCATTTTACGAAAGTAAAAATTTAACGATTCAACGCGACGTGTCTTCAGAGAATTTACATAGGTAGACACTTGGGTTTACATTTTAGCGCAGGTGCGTAGGCACTTAGGATGCGCAATTTCTTTGGTAACACATTCGTCGGCACCTCGTCGTCACTTCCGACGAAAAATTCGTTGACCTCGACCTATAGCTTTATTTGAAAGTAAAAGAAATGAAAAGTTACTTCACTCTCTCTCTCGTAGTCGCCACCATTCCTTCCTATTTCTACGTTTAATCGAAAATCTTCAAACAAAAATAAATAATCTTTCTCATCGTGAAAACGAATGATGCATAAGCGAATTATTAAATATTATGAATCATCATGTATAGTATAGAGTACAGAAAAATCTCGTAACCGATGTTACATACTATCATATACATAGAAAAAAAACAAAACACCTGGCTGTTTTGTATACTTCTTTATTATACATTATCCGTCTTGATCCTCGCTCGTAATGTTTAATGTGGTACAACGGAGCAATTAAAAAATTGTCTATTCATTTTTCTATTAATTATTATCATATAATAAGAAATAGGTGGAAAGATAAGTTGTACCAGCGCATCTAATATGATGTTGTGTAATTATATTGAATTTGGGGAAGAAACTTCTTCTTATTTCAATGCAAAACTTTAACAAATTTGTTGTTTTCGAAAGAACGATGGAGATAGTGGTGGGTATCTGCTACTCGAGTAGGTTGTCGAAGGCTCCAGGGCAAAATTGCACCATCTTGTCGGTTAAACCCCCTTGGGCAAATCAGCGGCCTTATTTGCCCCCCTCCCTCCCTTTTATATACCTTACGCGGAACGCGAACCTCGACAAAACGCAAACTCTTACCTTTCTTGCCTAATGAAATCAAATATATCGATCAATATATTCAATAGAATGTCATTAATTATTCTTATTATTTTCTATGTACTCGTTCTAATTGTTTTACCCTTTTAACAATTTGGCCTCGAGAAAAAGATGTTAGTCGTGAAATAAAAAAAAAAAGGAAGGAATGGATGAGTGAAAGAGTTTAGCACGTGCAAAGATCCATCGAAAAAGAAAAGACACGTGTTAAATACAAAATATCATTCGTTGATGCACGTTTGATCTACAATATAAATGTGACAAATGTTACCTCGAGATAATACTCTGTATAGGCTCTCGAACCTTTCAAGAGGTTCGTATATCGTCTTACGTAATAAAAAGAGACGAAGTTATGCTATACTACTTCTACTACTATTTATCTTTCAATATGTATACGAATACGCTCGTTTGCGTTTCTGTATTAAAAGATGTTAAAAGACGTCAGTCTAATGTCAGTCAAATTTCAGTCACACACCGATTGATTGGTTACACGTTCTCCCCTATTTTTATTATTCTACCTTTTCTTATTCCTCCTCCAATCATTTTATAATTTGGATTGTTATTTTTGATTTGAAATATTTTCTTCTTTCTTTAATTCGAGAAACACTCTAACGAAGAGCTTGAAGACATGGAAAAAAAACAAGAAATCGTCATTAGAATCAAACAAGTCAATTACAAATCGGGAATAAACAATACGAAAATAAATGTTAACAGTAGAGAATTATTTCGTTGAGTTAAAATTTGGACTCCTGGCAAACATAATAAACACGTAGCAATTGCAGCAAGTCGAAGGATTCAGCTATACCCCCTTCCCCCCGATTTCGATAAATTCGGCAGAAATCGATGCAACAGGGAGAGAAAATTTGTCGTATCGAACAAGCAACCGGAAAGTAATAGTTGATATCACGGTCAGATAGCGCTGGTCAACATATGAAACAATTGAAATTTGCATAGAAATCTTTTTGCACAATTAACGCGTTCTATCTTTTATTATTAGAAATAAATATTGATATATTTCCTGTCTCTTTTTATCTTGAAGACATTGGAATCGTTAGGGCGATGACTTCTTTTACGTAGAAGAAAAAAACTTTGTATGCTTCTTTGAAAGATCTCTAAAGTTTCATGATTCTTGAAAGAGATAACACTCGCGAATAAATCGGTCTGTATGACCGGAGGCTATAGGTTGCGGACCCTCCGGGCTACAAATCTATGAAGTAATTCTAGATCTCTTACACGATTTATTATTCGAAATATGCGTCATCATATATATCATACTTATACATATGCGTTTAGGCAGTTGCGTGGAAAAACTTTAAGGGCGACAATATTTGTTGTCACTTTAGTTCAATAAAAATATTGAATTTATTATTTCACTGGAGTTAAAAAGAAATATGATTAATAGCGTGAAATATTATTTTGTTTCCTTGGCGACTGTCGGAAGTAATACGTAAGACGTCCAACAGGTATCAGATATAATCAGGTAAGATGCCAAATTAAACACGGTGGTGGGAACGCAAAAATAGAATGGCTCGAAAACTTTTGCTCTCAACTGTATATCTACAAGCATATGTAAGGTCGATGGCTCTTTCAGTACGGATGAACTCACGTATAATTTTTGATCACATATACACGTACGTAAAAAGAGAGAAAGCATAAGCACGCGTATACGCACAGAGTTATAAAAAGAATATATAATATACGTGTACATACTTTTTTTTACATAAGTGCAAATAGACGGACCCTATATACGCGAACCATTTAAATACATACATATTTCAATTATTTTACATAATTATTACCTTAGAATTTTCCGACTATATCGATTCTCGTGCATAAATATTGTTACCTTACATATGAACGAAATCTTTAAATTTCGTATTAATCAAGATAAAATATCTCTACTCATATTCTATACAATTTATTATATTACATATCTTTCTTTTCAATCATTAAACACTTATGAATCCAACTAAGTAAAAATATTAAATTGGATCTTATCTAATGCACAGTTCTAATAAATCTTATCTCTAATCCATAGACTACTCTACTAGCGTTAATGAGGTTAAAAAAACAAAACAAAAAAAAAAGATAAATTTTAATCCTTTGAAGAAGAAAATATTCCATTAAATCAAGTTCACATGTACAAGGTGTACAATTTAAATTGGTCAGATGTCTGATCGGGTTGAGAATTTTGATAAGTATTATTAATTCTCTATTCGAGGATTATTGGAATTTCTGACAATTTCGAGAACATGAATGACATTTCGTTACTAAATTATATAAGATATTTGGCATTAAAAAGGAATAAATGTGTTTATCACAATAGTTAAAAATCTACTTTATAAATTAATTCTGAATTGTGTTTTTTATTACGATCTCCCGAATTGTCAACTCTCTCCAGATACAATTTCTAGATCTTCCCATATAGACTTGTGTTTAATATAAATAGCAAATTGGAATGAAACAATCGGGATAGCTTTTATCGTATACCCACACATTTGCCATCAGTCAGTCACACACTGGCGTATAATAATTTGTTGAATGACCCCGATAAAAAATCCTCTGTCCATTCATAATTCGTAGCTTAGTTAGTATTATGAGACTCGTCAATCTTGTTCGAAAGCGAGACGATTAGTGTAATGGGTATGAAAATGAAGACAAAAGTTTACACCAGAAAGAGAGAGAGAGAGAGAGAGAGAGAGAGAGAGAGAGAGAGAGAGAGAGAGAGAGAAAAAAAATAACGCGTTACGCAATTATGGCAAATCTCGCCCGCAGCGAGCCGAGACCTTGTCGATTGAACATGAGAACTGGGCCGTTCGAGACTCTTCTTGCGAGTTGATCAGACAACTTTTGTATCCCCTTTGATATATACTCTTGTTATCCTTTCGAACGACGCCGAGGAGTCTACGACGAATGCGCGTCCACGTGTACTTTCTTGCTTGCTTCATTTCTTTTTTTATACTAAACGTATCAGGACAGGTCAGATAACCGGTTTTTCGATTTGCCTTTTTACGAGATTTACAATTATTTATCTTGTTTTTTCTTATTTCAAATAGTATCCATTTAATTGTTATATGCGTATTCGTTATTATTATGCGCTAATGTAGTCTTTGACGATCATCGATTTATTATCAATTTCTATATATATATATATATATTCGTTTTGTGTTACAGTTTTTGGGCCCGATTTCTGGTTGCCATGTAAATCCTGCGGTAACGATTGGTCTTTTCGTCAGTGGCAATTGTTCTTTCTTAAAATCACTTTGCTATATCGTTTGCCAAAGTTGTGGGGCGATAGCAGGAGCAGTTGTTCTGAAGGTACGAACACTTCAAATCAAAACAAATGTCCCCGAATGATTGAACAATAATAATGTTATAGCTGATAACACCAAGCGAACGAGTGAGTCAAGGATTAGGTGCAACCGATTTGGGTGAAGGCGTGGAAGCTGGTCAAGGTATTGTTATGGAAGCAATCATCACATTTCTTTTGGTCTTGGTGGTTCATGCAGTTACAGACCCGAAAAGAAGCGACACGAAAGGATGGGCACCTCTCGCGATAGGTTTAGCCATTTCTGTTTCGCATATGGCCGCCATACCGTTCACTGGTAGCAGCATGAATCCAGCAAGATCTTTGGGTCCTGCAGTTATCTTGACGTATTGGTCGAATCATTGGGTTTATTGGGTTGGTCCAATAGTCGGAGGAGTCATCGCTGGTAGTCTTTATAAAATGGGTTTTAGGAATACGAAAGAAATCGAGGAAGCTTCTTACGATTTTTAAATTAATAAACAAAAGAAGGAACAAGAAATGAGTACTCTATTTATTTGGTCAGTATTAGTGAATATTATTCGGGTCAGTATTTTATATAATAAATTCATATTTTCTTTAGTATAAACAATCGGTTTTTAATTAAACGAAATAGAGTAATAGCATTGAAGAATGTTACATTTTAATTCGAATTCAAATACTGACCCAATAAATAAATAGCAGTAAATGAATAACGAAAGTAAAAAGGGAGGAAGATAAAATAAATAATATTCATTCATTGTCTTTTTTATCGAGCCTGGAGTTACTTCAGAATGTACATGTATATGCGTAAACCTAATTGTAAGTTAATCATTTTGAAGCACCCTATAAGTATTATTAATCCATTTGCATCATTATTATAAATATGCGATTAACAACAAAGAAAGAAGTCAAATTGAATAATAATGCAAGTTTGCAGAAAAAATTGCGTTAGAATTATTCGGCATTGAATAAATTGTAAGTTATTACGCTCTGATTATTTTTGGATTTGCTGATGCAAATTGGTTAATGCCGTTATTACATACTGTCACTCATTGTCAGACCCGATATTTCGATGAGCCAGATAGTTCGAAACCGAACATCAAAACCAAAGGGCTTATCGAAACTCGATTTCACAGCGTTTTCACTTATACATGATCAGTATAACGTTGCCATCTAGTCAAATCTTACGTTTCCATCGTCTTTTAAATCATCAAGTCGATCGTAATCGTACAATTCTCGAATATTATCATCATCAATTTTATTCCTTTATCGCGTTTGTTTTCTTTTATAACGAAATATTATTTGCTTTTGCTCATACGTGTTATACGAATTTATTAGAAATTCATAGAAAATAAAACCTAATCTTTCCGTCGATCACGAACTAAGAGATTACTTAATTACTACATTTCTTTCTACAATCTCTTGTTTTAAATGTATATCATATTTTCAGACAGAGAATGTATTGTTCAACTCGTGAATATTTATTTTCTATGAATAATTATCGTTCTCTTCGCGCGTTTCTATTATTAAAACTATTTATTATTTGTCATAATCATGTAATATAGAACGCGGTAATGAGAACTTTCCTAAATTTTAATATACATTTTAATAAGAAAAAAAGAAATATATTATCGAGATAAAAAACGATTATATAGTTTTGTAATATAAATAGTTAAAAAAAAAAGAAGAAAAAAATACAAAGAGATCTGTAAAAGGTGTAACATAATTATTATCATACACTTGTATTCATACTCGTAAATATTTAACAATAATTTATGTATTATATATATATATATATATATATAAGAAAATGTTAAAATACCTCCGCATTTATGCTATTATTAAGATTAGCTTTATTCTAATAAGCACACGCTATAAATTACTATTTGAATGATCGATGTCGGGTCTCTATTTTTCTTCATACTACAATTGTCGCGACATACAAAATGCGAGTGCTATATGTGTGTGTGCTAATTGAAATAAAATATAAATAAAAAAAATGTAATTTCTTTCCAACAATTATTGTAGACATAATCAATTAGTAATTTGTCTATTACGTTCTTGTGTTTAATTATTATTATTCTGTTCTCTCTAAACGTTTCGGTCGCGGAACGTTGCAGCGTTATAAAAATAGCAGGTACGGAAATAGTGTGTAACAGTAAGAGAGAACTTTTTGGGTAAGGCAACTGAACCGGTTGCAGGAAAGAATCGTTGATGTCAGTAGCAGTAGTAGGAATATTTGTCGTCGACCGACAACGTGTCGTCATTTCTAATCAGTAAATTATATGAAATCGCGTTTTGTTTCTTCGACATGGCGTACAATTTGGACTACGAGATCAGTGATTACTTTTCCTCAAATTTGTTTGCTGTAAGAAATTCGATATCTCAACAGGATTTTAAGAAATTTACCAATCTTCGATCAAACGCAGAAAGAATTGCTTTTATATTGAGTTATCCTGAAGCCCATCATTTGTCCTTTGAAATTGACAATCATGAAATCAAAGACGGTGTGAAAGCTTTGAAGTTTAAGAATATTGGTAACAATTATTTTGGAAGTGAGGATTATCTAGAAGCTTTGGACGCGTACTCAAAAGCTGTACTTCTGGCACCTCAAAAGGGTACAAATGCGTTTTACCGTTCATCAAAATTAGGATGATAACAAATCCTATAATAAATATTTCATTTCGTGGTTGGCTCTATTTTAAAGAAATATTATTTATATTTTTTAATCTAATATATTGTAATAGTATCGTTTTCCAGATTTGTATTTATCGTAAGTGTCACGAATAATGTAAAATTCACTGTGGATTATTTGAAAATTGTGTGTTTAGATCTTCCAGTGATGCTTGCAAATCGTTCAGCAGCACTTTATCATTTGCAAAAATACGAGCATGCTTTAGAGGATATAGAAGAAGCACTTCGATTGAATTATCCTAAAGAACTTCGATACAAAGTGGAAGAAAGGCGAGCAAGATGTTTTCTAGCTCTGAAGAATAACAGAAAAGCGATAGAATGTTTTAGACTCGCGTTACAATTATTGGACGATGCAAAACTTTCTTCTGATCGAAAAAACAAATTAGGAACCGATATCATGCTAATGTTGAGCTTGATGGAGAAAGGTCAACAATTGAAAGAAAAATCTAAGATAGTTCCACAGCAAATCATCGGAAATGAAACGAATGTACAGAAAATTATACCAAAAATAGTCAAACGTAATCCTTTTTATCCAGCTTGTAGCAAACTTGTGGAAATAAAAAACGATGATGATAGTGAGATAGGAAGACACGCTATTGCTACCAGAAAAATTTTACCTGGCGAAATTCTTATTATTGAACAACCACATTGCGCTCTTTTATTAGAGGAGTACAGGTAATTAGGATAGAACAATAAGTAAAATGACTTGATCAAATGAATAAATGGCATGAATTTGTATACTCATCTTATTATTACGTAAAACAATTCAGTATCGATTCTTCATTTTTAGGTTGAATCATTGCTTCTTCTGTTTCTCCAAGATAATCGTACCAATACCAGCAGCTTGTAACGTTTGCAGTTGCGTGGTTTATTGCAGTACTCGTTGCAGAGATAAAGATGCTGAATTGCATATTCGTGAATGCAATTTGTTGCCAGTTTTATGGCTATCCCAAGCTTCGATCACGTGCATTCTAGCTCTTAGAAGTCTTCTTCAAAGACCATTCAAGGAATTTGTTGAAATGAGAGAACGTTTAACATCCACCAAAGAGAAACGTGAAATTTCAGAAAAAAAACCATATAAAGGAAATGATTACGAATCTTTTCATGATTTAGGTAAAGATTACGGTTTTTACACAAATCTTTTATAATTATTTGCAATATTTATTGTGTGTGAAAGTTTAACAAAAAATCAGACAAGAGAAACTTTATTTCATGTATATGTGGTATGCATTTTCATAGTGACTCACGAAGATCAACGTACAAGTGAAGATATATTTCATCGAGCTTATATTGCTGCTTGGTTATTGAGACTTGTAAAAACAACAACGTATTTATCTAACAACGATAAAACACCTGATTCATTCGAGGTAAAGCTCTCGGACGCTGAATTGTTTGTAGGTGAACTACTTTTGCATCATTTGCAGCTGCTACAATTTAACTCCCACGAGGTAAAATTGTTTAAAACAATCTTATTCAATCTTTCTATTTCTATCTATTGGAATTTTGTAATCATTTCTCTCATCACAGATTTCAGAGTTAAGTAACAGAAAAATAAAATCCAAAAAAAAGTCACTCGCAAATGCTAAAAATCTTTTCATTGGTGGTGGTGTATATCCTACAGTAGCATTGCTTAATCATTCGTGTAATCCTGGTGTCGTGAGGTATACCAAATTCTTTCAATCTTTTATATTTCTATTATTACAATCAATAATATGGGCTTTTTTGTTCAGGTATTTCATTGGTACGACTATCATTGTTAGAGCAATTCGAACGATTGAGGAAGGTGAGGAGATATCTGAAAATTATGGTCCTATATTTACTACGATGCCTGAAAGTGTACGAAAACGAAATTTAAGAGTACAGTATTGGTTCGATTGCAAGTGCAAGGCATGCATCGGCCATTGGCCCTTATTGGAAGAAATAGATCCTACAATCTTCAGGTATCAAATTAAACTTTTACATCTTATGGTATAAACAAACAAATTACGAATTGTATGGCTTAGATTTTTAACAATTTTTACTAGTTTCATACTTCAATTTAAATTCGTATACAATCAATTTCTGCGTGTGTCAATTTATTTATTCAATAACTAATTTAAAAACCTAAATTTTTGACAATACTAAACAATGAAAACAGTAATATAAATATAATTCAATAGTACCAATTTTTGCCTTTTCACAATAACATAATAAATGATTAATAATTAAATAGTGTAACGATAAAATAAACGTCAAATTTATAATACTAAAAATAATAATTTTGCACATTAAAATCAATAGTATAAAAAAGTATACAACAAATAAAAATTTCATTAATGGTAAAACGTCTTGATTGCAAATGTAGGTATTACAATTTGGCTTTTTGAATGGCTATCCTTGCTTTGAAATACCTTTATCTTTTTTGCTTTTTTCCTTCTATTTTTCTCTCTATCTTTCCTTTTTCTTATAATTTCTTATTCCTTTCCAATGTCCCTTATTTTTAGTTTCTTTATTTTCTCTTTCGCCTATCTCCTAATTGTTTCTTTTTTTTCTTGCTATCGTGCTCTTATTCCTATTTCTATTGAATAATAAACCAATTCTATCAAACTTTCATTATTTTCACAATAATAATAATAATAATAATAATAATAAACAAATAAATAACATCTAGGTTTAAATGCGACTCAGGAAAATCTTGCGGCAATGTCTTGCCAATCAGTACAAACACAGATGAGTTTATGATTAATTGTCAAAAATGTGGGAAAAATACAAACATATTGAAGGGTTTAAAAGCATTACAAGATACAGATATGCTGTTTAAAGTTGCTTCGCGTCATCTCGAAGATGGACAGCACAATGAAGCTCTGGAAACTTATTTGAAAATATTAAAACTTCTCGATGAAACATTGTCTTTACCGATCAGAGATTACCATTTGTGCCAGCAAGGTGCAAGATTATGTATGCTCGCTTTAGGTAATACGGACTTAAAATGAGGTATTGCATAATAATATACTACTTATAGATTTTTTTATTTATAACTATTACATGATGGTACAAAATAAGTAAATGAAACACAAATTAATTTGTTTTTTTTTTTTTCTTGTTTTTCAATTTTTTTCAAATTCAATATTCTAATATTAAATTTATTCCAATTTCTTTGATGCAGCATTAACTTTTCCATGTTTTTGTTTATTATTTGTTATTAATTATTACTATTATTATTGTTATTAACCTTTTAGCTACTTAGTGTCACTGTCACATCGTGACTTTACTTATTCATATATTGTTTTAAATATACGTGCATTAATCAAATAGCAGAAAATATTATTTGTTTTGATAGACACACTTCTTCTTGCCATATATATTTTGTTTGTCTATATGCCATTTCTGTACTAGGTGGCTGACAAATGCCACGGCCAGTCTCATCATAGCTAAAAGGTTAATTATTAAAGTTATCCTTAACAAAGAATGAAAGTGAATGGGTTCAGTTTCTTTTCCACTTATACACTTTACAGCAATTAAGCCAACACGTCCGAAATTGAAAAGCGCTCTCAATTATTTTTATTGTGTGAATTTGTCAGTATGTTTGTCCCATATAAGTTTACCTGTATCTCTGTGTACGATATATGTTTTTGTATATGTATTTCTGAGCGTTGTTTTTTATCAATGTTTACTTTTGTTTATTTATGATATGACTGTAAATATATTATATCATTAATATACAAATGCAAACACATAAGACGTGTCAAATTTTATCTTGTCCACAAGGGTTGTCCGGTTTCCATCATATTCAGCATTTAACTGTAATTAATATTATAGAAACAGATTTTAATATATTTTAGAAACAGATTTTAATATCAAATTATTTTACCTTTATTTTTTGATTAATTAACTCTACAGCATTGTTGTTCAAGAGAATCAAAAATAAATTTCTAACTTGCAACACTATCCATCTTATTAATTGACATTAATTTAAATGTGATTTCAGATTAGTAAAATTTATTTTAATTTTTGCAAATACTTTTTTCCCCCGTAATAAATCGGTTAAAACCATAGCATGTTTATTTCTGCACATCCTAATATTACTAAAGTATAATATTTGCGTGTCGCGCTGCAGCATTTACTTTCATTTCGGTAAATCCCTGATCGTCTATTATATGAAAAAACCTAATGCATTTCATAAGAAATAATAATTGAATGAAAAGATTACAAATTTCAATAAACATTATCAAACATAAATAAATAAAATAAATAATATCTGTACAAAGGATTGAGCCTGTTTCTTTATTTGATATTCCTGTCAAGCAGCGATGGGTACGGTTAGTACATGGATAGGTGACTTGTTTGGAAAAAATCGTGTGCTGTTGCATCCAGAGAGGCGGTAAACGCGACCTCTTTGGAAATGTGGGATGATAGATGTGAGAAGGTGTTCGTAGACAAGTAACTCGAACCTGCATAAGAAAGAGTAATAAATGGTATTTTCGCGCAGTACAATATCTCCGTTAATTATATTATAGTGAAATATGTCACGATTCGATAACTAGTTAAATTCATAAATTTAATAAGTTCACAGCCACGAATAGTTCTGTCATATCTGCGATTTCTTTTCCTTTTCTTTCTAATAAATCTTTTTTCTTTGGCTCACCATAAAATCCCTGATGATAAAAAAAAAAAACCATCCGCCGTACGTCATAGCGTAGCGACACTATTTCCTAATAAGTTGAACTTTTTTTTTTGCAAATGCAACATGACGATGATGTACTTGCAGCCAGGTACCGCCTCAGCCGTTATTTTAAATACTTTGTCCAAAATTTATTTTAGACAAAAATAAACAAAGATTAATGCAACTATTGGGAAACGCATTAGGTTTATGATATATAATAGTTGATAATAAATATATTGAAATCAAGAAATAAATATTATTAATTAATTATAATCATCAAAAATACCGTCTATCTCGAGAATCCGAGCGAGAACGGCGGTCACGGCTGCGGCTACGGGTCAAAGATCTTCTACGTGGACTGCGGGACCTTGACCTACAAAATTACAAAATACTTTTATACCAGAAAGGCAAGAAATTAGACAAGAAATTTAATTCTAACACGTATCCTTGCCAAGTATCGTATTCGCTTTCTCATATTATTACAATTTTATAAATTAACATTCTATTCATTATTTTTTTTATAATATTTTTTAACTGATATAAACACATATAATAAAGTATATAAAATTAAAAACAAAGTATAAAGTTAATTAATTATCGAACGAACGAATACGAAATCAAGACAAAGTAACGTAATTAAACACATATATACAAAAAATCATCGCAAGCCAACTGTAATAGAATTAGAACTAACTCCTATATACCTAAGGGGTGATAAGACTAGTTAGACACAATTATGAATCAATACAAAATGACATCTCACCAATAATAAGAAAAAACCAAGAAAAAAATAAGGATTAATCTGGTAGTTAAATAATCTCTTTTTATTATTTCTTTTTTTTTACGGTAATTGTTATGACTCATATGTATATATACATTAAAAATACACAAAATTCAAAACACGTGTAAGTAAGTGAATGAAAAATTAGTGTATGTGTATATGCACACATGCACGCGTACAAAAAGTACGGGCACGTGCATACAAACATACGTAATGGATGCATTTAACATGTATATATACATATACAATAAAATTGCAATTCTCTGGTCCGAAGTGCTCTATTTATCAAATAAAATAATAATCCACTAGAAATTTAAAAAACGAAAATGAACTATTGAAAAATAATTTTAACTCATTGACTGCCAAATTAGATTTGCATGATATTCTCAGAGACCGACAAGAGAATAAAGGATGACATTGTATGGAACTTTTGCAACATAATAAATAATGTTTTAATTCCAGTTGTTTTTATTGTAAAATAATATAAGTATTTAAAAATATAGTATTATTTAATATTTTATTGATTTTAATAATCTAAACATTGTAATCGATCTGGTCACTAATGATTATAATGGACTCTTAGAAAAAAAAACAAGTTCTGGTCATTGACAACCGATGCTGCACAGTCAACATGTTAGTAAATCATTTCTCGTTGCTCTAATGATTCAACTGTTTTGCACGTCGTACTAAAGATTTGCTGCTTGAGAGAAAAAACAAAGAAAAAAAAAAAAAAAAAAAAAAAAAAAAAAAAAGAAAAAGGTAAATATGACGATAATAATAATAATAATAATTGTAATAATTAGAAACAAAAAAAATGTTTAATTTAAAAAAATATTTTAAAAAAATTGTATTAAAAAAAATGATAAAAAATCTTTGAAAATCGGTGAAATACCAGACAACTGTGAACATGTAGTGGTGGTTGGTGGTGGTGATGGTACTTGGTTGGGTGGTGGTAGGATGGTGTGTAGGTGATCATTTTGCTTTGCGCTTGGTCGAAGAGAAGTGGCGGTCGCGTTGTCGGCTAAGTTTAACGTGATGGTGGACGAGTAGTAGTAGTAGTAGTAGTAGTAG